GTTCAAAGTTAGCAATGCGTAGGTAAAAATTACTGTAAAATAGTCGTTAAAAAGCATTTAAATAAAACCATAACGAGGTAGCAGTTTCTCAGAGGACTTAAACTTACGCAAATTATAACTATACTAGCTATTGCCTACGACTTCGCCCGCTTGAAGTTTAAAACAAACAAAAGTGAGTAGCCTATGTTTTCTTCCAGACTATCCACTACATCTGTACCAAATTTCATCGAAATCCATTAAGCCGTTTAGGCTACAAACTCTAACAAACATCCATCGATCCATCTAAACTTTCGCATTTATAATATTAGTAAGAAGTAAGATAAGATTAGTCTTGAATTGTAACAAAACTACTAACATACAAAAACTTTTCACAAACTTATCTAATAAGCGATGACTAGTACAATCTCAATAGTTTTATTTTAGTTGGCATCGACCCGCATCTTGGCTACAGCCCCGTGGTTCTTAAATGCAAGAAGCAGTATAACGTACTTGAAGAAATTTGCTGTTTACCTTACAAGACGAGGATCTGGAAAAACTTAGTCGGGTGAGCGAGCGCCCGCATGTTAGAGCCGACAACTTTACGTCAAGTTTTATATTAAAGGATTGAATGGGGAGAAACTTATTGGATACAGTTTTGATGCACGTTTGGAAACTTTGCTTAATCTATTAGCTGTTTGATCTCTGAGCCTTTGAGAGATAATCTTTTGAGTGAGACCCATCTTGAATGGAAATGTCGTTATTCAAATAAATTGCGATACCAACCCTCTCATTTCATTATACTTTTTTGTACCTAAATGCCTAATGGGTATACATTTTTTATGTAACATCTTATGTATCAAAAATTGTCTTTAAAAATATTTAAGACTTACACAATTATGACGACGTTCATAATATCCCAAACTAGCTGTTCCCATGCGACTTCATCCGCATAAAATTATAAAAATGTCACTTTGTTCACATTCGTCAAATTTTCAATTGCAAATGTCAAAATGACATGACATGACAAAACTAGGTATTCTTGCTACCTTAATGTTGGCAGCAACTTATGGTCTCTTTCCCACATTAGGGTTTTTATCCAAAATATTTACCCCCTAATTTTAATGGCGTGAAAATATATAGCCTAAAGCGTGACGTAAGTGTAGGGCTTTTTATTAAAAAAAGAATTATTCAAAAATATGCTGTAATTGCTGACATCTTAGGCAACAAAGAGATGTTTGTTTACGCTTTATTATAATAGTATAGATATAGATATATGGAGTTTTAGTTCATAAATAGCTAAAGTTGACAAAGAATAAATAAATATGTTGCACAAAGCAGATATAATCCGGCAAGCTTTGTTGTCTTTTTTTAGCGCGCCTTAGCACCTGCAACTGCAGAATCAAGTGAACTTCACACGTACTTTAGCTGAGACAAAGGAAGCCTTTACAGCAGGCGACGCCGCCCGGCCGCTTCTAACGCCCCGTGCTATCGAGCCTTATGTTCTACTTACGTACAAGTGTTATGAACTTTTTATGTCTTCACAGTCATTATTATAATTAGATATAGCACATATAGAAAAATCTTTTAACTTTCTGAAATGACAACACTAATTATAATCTATCTAAGCATTGTATACTCTGTTCTAATTCAAACTTTTAACTGATGAGACGTATTGTTAAAACTGTGCATATGTAGATAATTAAACTTTAGTTAAAACTAAGCATCTGTATCTGTCTTTAGCAAGAAAATATTAACAAGTAAAAACTTCAGTTGAAAAAATTCAAAAGGGGTTGACTGAGATAGTCTGACCGATGTTTAAATATGCTCTTTGGCGTTTATACGACACAGAGGTCAACAATAGGGCGTCTTAGGCAAGCATTCGTTTAGTTGCGCCGGGGTCCATCAAGAGAAAGCTGTGCCAGGGGCCGCGGTGTGTGCAGAGCAGTCCACGGGCGAGCCCCACTCGAGCCGACATAGATCGACCTCCACCATCCCCTGTATGCAGCCCCGCATTGTTACTTCGCATCTAAAAGAGACTTAATAATAAGCCCCTAGAATTCTTAATGCGCCTTCTTTTCTCTTTTACAAACGCCGATGAGTAAAGACAAGTAAAGCTTCTTACTGCAGCAAGTAAAGTATAACCATATAGACATGTAGATGTAAAGACATACTCTAAAGCCTTTTTTAGATTTATAAGATAACAAGCTTTCGGCAGCGACTACGTACTCGTTAAAATAAAAAAAAAAACAAAGTATGTAGTCTACGTGTTCTTCCAGAATCTACAACTACGGAAAATTACATCGAGATTTGTTCATCCGGTAAACTCTAACAAACAGCCAACTAAACTTGCGTAGTTATTATATTAGTAAGATTGGCATTTACAGTACACAAATATGAAAATAATGTCACCGGCTTTTAAATGCATTTATTAATTAGAACAAATATCGTATTCTACACCTTAAATAATTTACAAAGGATCCTTGAAGTCCTTGTACGAGTCCCGTTGAAAACCCTTACGAAATCAACTTACTGTATCCATCTCCATTAACGAGTGGAGCTAACAAAGCGTTTGCAATACGTTTGTTCGTCTTTGAGTCGTCTCCTGAGGGAGGCGGGGACCTTGCATGGGAATTAAAAGTCGCCGGTCAGACATGACGTCACGGTTTACTTACCTTATTACGCATTAGGGGATTTACACACAATAATTTACTTATTTAAATAAATGTCAATTAAAATTATCTATATACTAATATTATTAATAAAGATGTGCAGTTTTATATGTATTGAAATAACTCAAAAACTACTGGGTCGATTTCAAAAATTCTTACACCGTTAAATAGCTACTTCATCGGTGAGTAACTTAGGCTATATTATTATGTATTTTCTTAATTTCAAGCAAACGAGTCCCGAACAGCTAGTCTTCTGTACTTATATAGACAATATAAATTTGTATAGTTTTAGATACCGTAATTATTAATTTGCATTAACACTTTCAATTCAAAAGAGGTTTAATAAAAATAATTAAGCATACGCGTATACATTAGAAAGTTTTACTCTGTAATAAAATAACGTCTAAACAGATTCATTTGTATTCCGTGCATGTGTGCAAAACTTTTCATGCTTCTCACCTTAAAAGTTCAATAACCAAATGCAGACAAATAAAAAATTAACGACTTAAGATCTCTTTGGAGGTTGAACTGAGGTGGAGAGCCTCTGAGAGACTCTTCTCCACTCTAATACAAAGCGCGATCGTTTTCATATCACTAAGATAATGATAAGAGTCGCGGATAGGAGCGGGTAGGAGAGGGTAGCGGGGTGTGCGAGAGGGTAATTATAAAGCCCTCTCTAAAACGCTTCACACTTGAAAACAAATCCTAAAAGGCGCTTACGACGTTCCGCGCCGCGGCGCCGGCATTAGCGCACTGTCGCATCTTCAGAGGGCGGCGAGATCAAAGGACGGGTACACAGCAACCGCTCCCATTGATGTCGCGCACAAAGGGAATTGATTGTTGCAAACCTCTTTTTCACAAAAAAAAATCGAACGAGATAAAACGACGGTTTGATCATACATCTGCTACTTTTATTATATAGATCGCTTTTATCGTATTGTTTCTGTTTACTGCGTTGTTTGCGCGCTTCTTTGATACGATATTATTGATTTAAGTACCAAATGTAAACAAATATTTGCTTATTTATTTAACAAAGCCAAATTGTTTGAAAGTATGGAGTGATTTTTAGTATTTCTTGCAAGTGACTCTTATTTAAAATATAGGTCATACAATATTTAGCATCAAACTAGCTGCAACTTTTTATAGCTGAGCAGAATGAGAAAGAATCCTAGAGCACAGCTTAAATTCATTAAAATCAACATTACAGCTGTATACTATATCATAATAAATTTAATTCCACCATATGAATGTTAAAAGATAATTTTATGCTTTCTCCGCAAATGATATAGCACAAAATTCTATTTAAATAATTAATTACATATTTTTAACAAATACATTTAGTTTATTCATAAATCTAATGTATGGAATACATGATAAAATGGTGATCACAAAATAAATTTTAATAAAAAGATTTTCAGCCGTCTTGCTACTGAACTATTACAAAGATATTGATGTTTTCTTGTCCTGTAAAAACTAAGATAACACTATTTTTAAAATAAATATTTATAATGTATTATAGTTATTATTTATGTCTGAAATTTTTATTAGTATATAATGGCTGAAATTAGTCATTCACTAAAATGACTGACGGTCAGTGAACACAAACATTTTAAACACTTGTAACAACAAAATTCAGTTTTGAGTAAAATACGAAATTAATCTGATATTTCAGAAATAGGACAACATCTGTAGAAGTAATACAAAATAAAATTTAAGTTTAAAACCTCTCAATTAAAGCTTTTTCATTGATTGGTTAATTTGGACAAATTAATTGTTAATACAATATTATAACATGAAAGTAAGACTTTAACAATATTATAATGATAAATGAACTAATCAAGGAATATTAGAATCTAAATCCTAATAATGCAATTAGAAATCTACTAAAGTGATTGGAAAAGGGTTAGAAAAAAGAACAAACAATATATAAACTTTTTCGTAAGTATTGTTTGAGAATATTTTCGATAAGTAAAGCAACAAAAGGGTCTAATACTAACAGTCATTCATATAAGGTCCAAAATACTTTGATAGACAATACTAGGTCAATAGGTAAACACTATTCCAAAAGTTTGTAAACAAATACAACTTTAGTTTAATTCACCGGGACGAGTTCGGGGGACGGCAGCGAGTTCTAAGAAACAAAACATCTTAAGTGTCAGAGATCTGTTTAAAATTCGAGTAGATGAGACATAACCTTTTAAAGAATTATTAATAACTGTTACATGAAATGTATCCGCCAGCGACGAAAGTGACTTGAGCTAATTACAAAGTTCAAAAACATTAAAATACCCTTTGAGATGTAAAGCGTTAATTTTAGAAGTCGTAATCTTGAAATAAGCTTCGGTACCTTACCTCGTTGACACCTGAATTCTCAACTGATCCCGGAGTTCGTTATAACTTTGCACACAAAACTTTTTATTTTGAACTATAAACTGTTACACTTGATAACGGATAAACACTTCGAGAAACTTAACAAACAGTCTTTTAACTTATAAACAAACAAGAAACAGCAGTTCGATGTAGAAAACAAAAATTTACCCACACACGGTTGACGTCGCTTTCGCCATGGTGTTGATGCACTTGAGCGGTATCTAGCGGACTCAAAGTACATTAAACTTGTCATTCCTTTTTACGCAGTAAGATTTTGAGCATGCAAAACTTTATTTCAAATTAAATATTTGTTTTAATGTCAAAGTGGAACAAAGACAAGTGTGGCACTTTGTTTTTGATATTAAAAATTAACGTTAAATAATACATTACTAATTTAATTAACCTATTGCAAATAATGGTTAATCCTAATTTTTATTTCACACAATATGAAGTAGATAAATGTCGCGTTTCAGGTATTTCGACCATTTGTTTTCGCGCACGATTAGACAGCAAGAGTAAAGGTTTTAATTACTAATAAGTAGCTTTCGCCCGCGACTCCGTCCGCGTGGAATTAAGAAAACAAAAGCGAGTAGACTATGTGTTTTTCCAGACTATCCTCTAGGTCTCTGCGAAATTTCATGGGGATCCGTTCAGCCGTTTAGGCTACAATGTTTATTATTATTATAAAAGTATTACAATCACTATAAACTGGCGTAAAATAGCTAATGGTTAAAATTGCTTAACGTTTCTTTTACGATAGTATCAGAGGGCTTTGATACCCATCAAACCCATGGACTTACAGCTAGCTCATCTAGTGAAATACCAAGAATTTATAACTATAAAACAACCTGCGTCCAACCTTGAGTTGGTGTAAAATATCCAGTACTTTTGTTTTATTTACTTGACAAGGATTCACCGGAAGTAGGATTGGGTAGGAAGTCAGTTTTTTGCGTAAAAGGGGATAAAAAAAAACCATGCTTTTACTTCAAATTTATTACAAGTATGTGAACTTTGTTATAGCAAAAAAAAATCATTGAACTGTAACTGCAAGTTACTTAAAACACAAACAAAACCACTATCAATTAAATGATAGTAATGAAAAGAAAACTTAAATAAAAACACACCCGCTACGAATTATCAATTTTGTTTAAATTATATTCAATTTTTTTTATCTAGACAACATCTTAATTGACGACGTAGTTATATTAACTTTGTTAGACAACAACCATAGATATATAATCTATAGATTATAGATATTTGATCTAGAGCACAAAAAAGCCGTAAAAAGGTAATTTGACTAATGACATTTCATCTTAGACATCAAACTTTTATGAACTCTTATAGATTTTATATCTATGACAAAAAGATTGCATATTTTAAAAGCAACCTTATAATGGACACAATAATTTATATTGCATCCTTGGTATTAGGGTAATATGGAACATTTAACTACAATGTATATTTCGTCGTTTCCATTTGAGCAGGTACAAAATAGCAGAAAAAACAAACCTGAATTCTTCGACTTTTCCTAAAACTACAAAAATGACTAAGCAACATGACTGTCTTCCTTAATTCGCTACATAATAAATTACGGAAGTAAGAAAAAATTAAAAACTGAGGTATTTCTTACAAAAGGAACTTAAAACAAACGTTAACTAATCATTTGAAAAGGGATACAACATACGAGACACCTAGCTAAACCATTACAAATTAGAACTCTTGTTATTTTGGCATAGTTATTTCTATATTAAATCTACATTAACAAGTGAATATTTAAATTTTAGTACAGTTAACACGCTTAGAAGTATAATATATTGAACACTGTTTAAATAATTTTGAATCTTAAACCACGTAAGGCAAAGTTCTAAAGCCATTGTTGGTATCACTGCGCCTTATATCTATATGAAGAAACAAGCCTCTAGTTTAGTATTTTTCTGTAAATAGGTGATCATATTCATTTATTTTAAACAAAGACCTAAACTTTGTAAATAAGCAAATTTATCCATTTAAGGTTATTATTTTTATATTTACTTTCATCGAAAAATATTTTAAAGTAACGCAAAGTGATTGTAATTCTAAAACTAAATTATTATGCAACTGGCAATTATTTATTAAATTATTAATAATTGCCATTTACAATGTATATTACGACACAATAATTTGTATACAAACAAAAAAATACATGTATAGATAACCCATTAGTAATAAACAAAAATTATTATTAATTTAAATGTATAAGGTACTTATGAGGAAAAAAAACATTAATACATTGGTATAGTTCAACGACTAATATTTTTAGTCGCAAGTTGTAATACATGCAGTTTTTCTCACCTAAGGTAAAAAATCAGTTTCATAAGATACTTTTTTAAAAACATTTACAAGCCATACTGAAAAAAATCATTAGACAGAAAAATGCTATGATCCCTTTAGATGGATAGGATTTTGCTTGCAAATATCGTTTTAGTTCCAACTTTAGTTCAAGTCCTCAACCAAATACAATCGTTATTGCCAAAATGTAAATCAGGCACAAATACCAAGAGAACATATCCATGTATAAAGTTCATTTGAAACAAAGTATTTTTCCTCAAAAACACAACTAGTTTTTAACACAGACGAATAGAAACATTATAAAAGTCTGTTAAAATTATTTCATTTGCGACAAATTTTAACTCTTAATATTGTTCAAGCTTTTAATAAAATTGGTCATATCGTATTCCTCTTCGTACAGCTTGTCATCCCAGAGGTCTGGCAGCGCGTCCAGCAGCGCAGCAGGCTGTTGCTGCTGCTGCGGCTGCTGCGACAGCTGGAACAGGTCCAGCAGCTGCTCTGTGCCCATCGTCTCCATGGCCGCGTTCTCGCTGCTGATCACCGTGTTTGCGGTCATCAGTTTGAATTTCTGCAGCCTGGAAATATACATTAGAAATCGTTTATACATGTAATTTAGACATTTTTAGATTTTGTAAATTTTATTTATTTGCCCAAATTGTTAAATAGTATTTTTCAGATAATTTGAAGCTCTTAACGTATCTTAACATCACGATAGAACACGATTTTAGATGTTTTGGGACGCGAAGCAGATGCAGTCTGCGTTGTAAAGCGCTCACATGACCATACAAGCTACGAGTTACTGAGATTAACTATATTTGATTTTTATCAAGCAAATGTGAACAAACATATTTTTACTTGGCAAAAATATTTTTTTTTAAAGTTAATCTATCGCTGTTCTAGTGTAATTTATAGTATATTGTAACGCTATCAGACAGACAGTTCAGTAGTTAACAAGCACTACTAATCCTCGTAGTAGGAATACTGACCCCATGATCTTCTCCTCGAGGGTGTCCCTGGTGACGAGGCGGTAGACGTTGACGACCTTGCGCTGTCCGATGCGGTGCGCGCGGTCCATCGCCTGCAGGTCCTTCATGGGGTTCCAGTCGTGCTCCACGAAGATCACTGTGTCAGCGCCGGTTAGATTCAGCCCCAGCCCGCCCACCTGCAACATTGTATTGTAGATTAGTCTAGATCGTTAAATGAACCCCAAGTCTAGTGGGAGAGGGCTGCTTCTAGATGTTAATTGCTATTTATATCTATTTTACATTTTTAAATTTACTACTTTGAAGCTTCCGCTTTCAGTGCACTCATGTAAATTACATTTTGAATAATTCTTTCTTTAATAAGGCCTTTTTTTAAGGCCCTAACACTTACGTCGAGCTTTTGGCTAAATATTTTCACGATACTAAACTTAGGGGGTAAATCAATTGGAAAAAACCTTCATGTGGGAATTGACCAGCTGCTGCTGACAATATTAAGGAAGCAAGGTTGTTATGGTAACTAATTTTGACATTTGCAATTGTGAATTTGACAAATGTAAACAATAAAAGTTTTTACAACTTCATGCGAATGAAGCCGCACGGGAACAGCTAGTGATAATTAAAATACTCACAGCAGTAGTGAGTAGAAGTAGATCAATAGAGACGTCAGTATTAAATCTGGTGACAATGGCATGTCTCTGATGCGGAGGCACGCTGCCGTCGAGCCGCAGGTGTGTGACTGTGGGCAGGTGCGCTCGTAGCAGGTCCTGCTCCACGATATCCAGCATCTTCTTCAGCTGGCAGAACACCAGCGCTCGGTGCTGAGATACTACTGCACCGTTCTCAGCGTCAGATGCGCCGGTACCGATACCGCAGTCGAGTAGCAGTTGTCTGAATAAAAAAAACTCATTTAGCTAATAACTTAAAAATTTTTGTCATATGTAGTGACACAGTCTTAAAATACCTAGATCTAAAAACTGTCTTGTCTTATGATCAATATTTCTTGAGTCCACTTTAATCTCCTTTTATGTTCTTTCCGATTCTTACATCTAGTATCTACTAGGTAGGACTATTACTAAAAAAACAGATCTAGCTACTCGTACTTGTTCAGTCAGTAACTTTCATAACTGATCATGTGTAATATAAAAATGCTTTTTAGATATGTACTTTGCAACATCTGAAAAAGGTTCTAGAGGCATGCCCACCACTGCTGATAGAGGCTCAGATAGCTTAAAAATGACGTCACTCAGATAAGGTAACAAAATCCGATAATTTAATGACATATTTTACACATTCGATTGTTATCAGACAATTTACAATTTGGTAGGACAGGCAATCTTTTTTGTATTATAAATTGTAACATGCTGTATATAGTTAGTTGGCAAATAATTGTTTTACGTTAGAATTGGTTGTAATAGCTGTATTTACTTGAGCGCGGGCAGTTTCGCGGAGTGGTGTATGTCGTCGAGGGAGGAGCGCTGCGCGGCGAGCTCCGCGGCGATGCGCGCGGCCTCCGGGTGCTCCGCCGTCAGCACCAGCTTCGGGTGGTTGCACACGTTCTGCAGGTAGTGCAGCGCCTGCCCAAATCATAAGTGTTTTTAGTTTATTGTCATTCATAGGTCGAAAATTCGTAATCAAAGATTTATTAAGACTATTAACACATTTTTAATATTACCTAACTATTAGATATGTCTGTACAATTTTGTCCATCTATACTTAGAATAAATTAAATAAAATTTTATCTATACTAAAATAATATAAAAAGAAAATATTTGTATTTTTGTATGTATCGAATTAACTCAAAAACTACTGGGCCGATCTAAAAAATTCTTTTACCATTAGAAAGGTAATTTAACTGAGAGTAACATAGGATACACTTATAATTAATTTTCAATTATAAAGTCTCACTTTACGTATTAATTAAGTGAACAATCGCAATATACCTGGAAAACGTGTGTCTGTGAGTGGGTGAGCGCGTGCTGCGGGGCGTGGTCGCGCGCAAAGTGCTCGTACAGCCGCCGCTGCAGCGGGCTCAGCTCGCAGTAGTAGTCCTGCGTTATCTTCGGCGGCAACTCGCGCAGCACGTCCTCCTTCACACGACGCAGCAGGAACGGCAACACCTTATACATACACAAATTTATATTCACAAACAAATAATACTTCATACTAATATTATCATATTAAATTTATAAATGTGAAAGTTTAGATGGATGGATGTTTGTTAGAGTTTGTAGCGTAAACGGCTAAACTGATTACGATGAAATAGTCTGGAAGAACACATAGGCTACTAACTTTCGTTTTTTTTTATTCTTCGCGGACGGAGTCGCGGGCAAAAGCTAGTTACTGTATTTAAAAAAAAACCAACTTCAAAGCCAAACATTACACGAAACAGAAAAAGAATCACGCAGATCGGATCATATGATATCAAATACCGATTCATTTGAGAATCTGCACTTTATATGATTATGCACACTCTACTCAACTCAATAGGAGTTGAATAGAATAATCAAATAGTACATCATATTCTCTAAAATCTTATTCGTAACAAAGAAAAGATTGAAAAGTCCAGTTTAAATTACTTGTATAATTTATTTTCTAACAGTAAATTATCACCTATAGTCGGTAAATAATCGGAGCTAGTGAGACTATTTAGTTTCCTAGAGAACACAATAGTATTAGTGTATTTACAAGCGAGAAAAAAGTGGTCAGCAGTGACCTGTCTATGCAGAGCTTCGCAAGCGAGTGCGCCGGCCTGCAGCTGGTGCGGCGTGGCCTTGGCGTCGCGCGCCGCCAGTATGGGCCGCGAGTAGCGCGCCGTGAACTGCCGCTCCGTGCCCAGCAGGCCCGGCATCAGGAAGTCGAACAGCGACCACAGTTCTAACACGTTGTTCTAAAATACAATACATTTATTACTAGATTTCGCCCGCGACTTCGTCCGCGTGGAATTATAAAAAACAGAACTAAGTATACTATGCGTTCTTAAAGACTATCCTCTACATCCATATCAGATTTCATCGAAATCCGTTCAGCCGTTTAAGCTACAAACTCAAACAAACGTCCATCCATCTAAACTTTCGCATTTATATATTAGTATGAAGTATACCTTCCAGTCAACATTTATCAAATTGGAACAACCGTATTCAGCATTACTCGAAGCAAACTCGGTCAGACAAAAAGTTTAAAAACTTTGTTACTTGTCATCAGTGTTAATTTAAAAAGTACTAAGATATATATTAGTTAATTATATCTAAATGTTTGTGTTTCTACTTGTACTTGCCAACAAGCTGTACATATTTATTTTTTCTCATTGTAAGCAAAACATGTTGTTTTGAGAATAAAGTATATTTAAACAAACTGAACTAAATCTGACTAAGTTTTATTGACAAATATTAAACAAAGTTATAATATAAAATTAATAACACTTTTTGTATATTTTTATTACCTGTATAGGTGTACCGGAGAGTATAAGTCTATGATTAGCGACTATTTGTTTGATTGCTTTGAACGCTTTGGTTTTTCCATTCTTTATAACATGTCCTTCGTCAAGAATGCAATAGTTCCACCTGAAAAGAAAAAAAATAACCAATTTTAACATTAAACATGTTTAGTAAATGTCAAGAGAGTTTAAAATTAGCATTTTATACAACATTTATTTCTCACTTGATTTTACCCGCGTCACCATCTGCGCGTAATTAAAAAAGTAAATACCCTATCAGATATAATATACCATATATATAGTATATACCAAAATTCATCGAGATCTGTTAAGCCGTTCTTGTGCCTCCGCACATAATAACATCCATCCATCCATCAAAACTTTCGCATTTATAATATTAGCAAGATATAAGATCCTGTTGTATCAAGACAATGTCATAGTTTAGATAACTTCAGCTTTACATTAGTTGTTACTTTCGATTCCGTCTGGGCAGAATTTATATTAAAAAGTAGCCTATGTTACTCAGCGATAATGTAGCTATTTATTATTTAGAGAATTTTTTAAATCGGTCCACTACATTTTGAGTTAATTCAATACAAAAATACAAATCTTTTTATTAAATTAAGTATAGCAGTAAAGATTTCACGTATTGACTCACTTGATGGTACTAAAGAAGTCGATATCTTTGCGCACGATGTCGTAGGAGGCGACGACGAGGTTGTAGCGGTCGCGGCGCGCGAGGCCGCGCAGACGCTCGCGCTCCGCCGGCGGGCCCACGTACTGCAGCGGCCGCAGGTACTTGCTCTCTATGAACTTGTTCACCTCGAACACCCAGTGACCTGCAGTAATATAATCAATTGAAATTAATTGGAGCTTTATGTCAGTCTTTCTAGTATATCCTAAAAAAATCCTTATGACTGTGCTTTAGTTTTAATTAAAAAAAAATGGTCTATGGGCATCAAAGCATAGCGGGAGTTGAAGCTGCTGCGTGCAACACTAAATGAAAAGTGCAAAAAATTGTCTATACCAGTCGAGTTGGATTGTGACACGAATAAAAGTGATTCTCGGACACCGCAGTTTTAATACTCTCACTCAAAAAATATACATGCCACGCCTGTCACATATAGGACAGAGAACTTCCACTTCAGAGAGTACAGTGTGTATGTACACAGTGAGTATAGTGTGTGTACAGTGTATATAGCGTATACCAGTGAGCGTGGGCGGGCAGACGACGAGAGAGGGCAGCGTGTCGCGGCGCTGTTGCGTGCGCTCCCAGTGCGAGCCGGCGACCACCACTATAGACTGTATGGTCTTGCCGAGCCCCATGTCGTCGCACAGCACGCCGTGCAGACCGTACTCGTACAGGAACCGCAGCCAGTTCACACCCGCCTGCAATCACGTACATTTCTCTCAGATTTTACACGGATATAATCCACTTGTCTTTAAGACAAGAACACATCATCATCTATAACGGCAAGATAGAGTCGACAAAGTATATACTGCTCTTCCATACATTTCTGTCAGCCGTCATATCTGAATCCACTCACTTAAGCATACATATGACAAGAATACATATGCCACTAAAATATGTAGTTCCCATCTGTCAAATGCCCTTAGCCATTACAAAATTAAATAATTACTTGGATGCCAGATATTGGCATGCCGATTAGCGTTCACACATAACTGTAATAATATGTATAAATGCCATTTGCCATTTTGACATTTATAACAAGAAATTTTAATTTAACATACAAATAACAAATACTAAAGTAACAAGATATTATTAATTAGGTCAATTAGTGTTATTTAATCAAAAATGTGATCATAAACTGAACAATTTTGAAACTTTTGAATTTTTTAATTTTCTCTCTAATTCCAACGATTAGAAATTATAAATATTTTCAAGAACAACACAAACCTGTTGATAACTCCTCAATTCTGCAGACACCGGCACCGGTATCTTATAATCCTTTATAGATTTAGGATTGAACAGTTGTTCTAGGAATTCCTTGTCGCGTTGCCTGCGCGCGCGCATCTCCGCGCCGAGTGCGGGCTCCGGCACAGCGCCATCTAGCGGCATCAGCTGGATCAGCGTAGCAAAGCACCGCGTCGACATCGTGCGCACCGCCTCGCAGTGGTCGCTCATACGTCCTGGAAACACAACGAATTTCTTGAGTGAATAATATTCGTTTGATAGGATTTATCTTTATTTTTATAGTTGTTGCTTATCTATACTAATTTAAATATTTCTACTATACTAATATAAAGAGGAAAGATTTGCATTTTTGTATATATTGAAGTACTCAAAAACTACTGGGTCTAATTCTAAAGTTCTTTCATGATTTAAAAGCTTCGTTTCTACTGAGTAACATAACGTATTTTTGAAATTCCACACGGACAAAGTCCCGAGCAACAGTTAATTAGTCTATAAGTTTTAAATTTTAATTTAAAAACCCTTAATCTGTGTTAATATTCATCGAGATTTATCAAGCACTTGTGGAGATAACATCTAAAAAACATCCATGCATACATCTTAACATTCGTATTTATAATATTAGTTCAAAGTAATATAAATTATTATATTAGTGACCTAGCAGTGGTATGACCAGCAGCACGATGTAGGGCACCACGTGCAGCTGCAGCGCGTCCACCAGCCGCGCCAGCGCCTCCGCCGCGCCGCACCGCACGCGCTCGTTGCGTACGTCGTCTAATGCACTGATCAACTAAACAATACACAATACATCATAAGTAATCACTATTATCGCCCTGTTTTTAATATAACAAGTATCAGAAGTTACAACATAATGTATACCAGAAGATATAAACTAAGAAGTTGTGTGATCAGACATAAGAGTCAAGTAAATAAAAATAGTACGACTTAGGCCTTTTATTCTAAAACAAGAGTGGCAATGTGTATGCAGCTTAACGGCGTTAAGAACGTCCGTAGACGTCAATTATTATCTCTACGTTTCTTCCTAGGTGTTATTTTTTATAACAAAAGGTGGCAACAACTAGCACGTGGCCCCTAAACATCCGCAATTGCAGTTGCGTTGCCTACCCTAAATCGACGGAGGACGAGACGCACATTAAGGAAATATTTCCCTACCCTATGATCCTACACCGTCAAATCCACTTTCCGTTCCCATCCTTTCCTCACGAGAGGATTGAAAGGAACTAAAATTAGGCCTCCGATAAGATATTATAGTTGTTTTCTTTATATAAAAATGTCAATCCCGACTACTATTGTATTTCAGTCTGTATTTACATACCTCGTTCACCAACTCCTGCATAACCGCATGCGGGTCCCTAGCTGCGAGTGCGGCGAGCGCGCGCGCCGCCATGTGCCGCAGGGCGGTGTACAGCGCGCGGCAGAGCGCGGCGCACGCGGGCACGCCGCGCAGCAGCCGCGGCCACAGCGCGCCGCCCACGCGCCCGCCCACCGCCTCCACCACCTGCAGCCGCGATATCACCTCCTCCGCCGCCTCCGGCTCCTGGCACACCAGCTCTGCAACACAAGTCATAAATATCGCATTCGAAATCGGTGCAATACCAAGATTAAAGATTTCAATTTTCCAAAAATTGCAATCCAGTAAGCGGCCAACCAAACTCGCCGAAATAACAAATACCAACAATAAGAGATACATTGCCTAACTTTAATCAAAGGAAAAGGACACACAGAAATATCCTCTATGTTTCCCTTTCCTATTTAATAAACCACATGACGCGCACTATTTCTACATAAAAAAATCTCTAAATTAAAACATAGAGACTAATCAATCCAATAATTTTAAAATCAGTTAAAACGATAGATCACCTGCATCAGTCATAATTTTTGCAAATGGCTCCGTAATGAACTCCCACAACTTAGGCAGCTTCTCAGGCAGCTCGTCACCGAAATATTTGGTGAGACTCGTCAGTGCTAGCGTCGCTCCCCTTCTCTGAATCCTCAGTAGTTTACGGGCCTGGAATACATTAACACAATATTTAATAACACATATTAATTAAATCTAAATATAATATAACTAATATTACAACTGGAAACATTTAGATGGTTGAATGTTAGAAATTATCTCCAGAAATGCGCAACGGAAGTAATTAAATCATTTACTTCATCCTCGTGCGGAAAGATATTGTCCAATGCGATGTCATTAGCGGCGTGCGCGGCGGCGGTGGCGGCGGCGGGCGGCCGGCCGCGGCGAGGCGCACTGCGCTCCGCATTGCGTTGCTGTTCTCGCAATGTTAATATGCCTTTGTATTTATCCACTGGAAATAAATTTAAAATGAACAAAGTGAAAAATTCCAAATTAACATAAAACAGCGCCATCTATAAACGAGTAGCTTAAATACTGACAATAACGGTTTTAATTTAAATTAATTCTCGATTTTTTTGTTTGCTTTTATAATCACCATTTTTTACATCAACAGTAATGCTATGAAATGTATGCACAATAAGATCTATATTTATTAGTATTTTAAATATTAACACTAATCATATTTTCTATGTTTTCCATTTTAATCGAGTAATATTTATGTTTGTATCTAATGTAGACCATAATACTAACATGTAGTATTCGTCGACTGCACTTCTCTCTTGGTTTCGGAGCCGCTGTCGCCGCTACCAGAGTCAGCCTCCTCTGCCACCTCCAGAGATATACGCGGCGTGTACTCTGGATCACATCTGAAACATAATAAGAGGGGAATACAGCAACAAAAAAAAGGAAATAGATTTCAGCAAAAGTTACCATTTTTAAGGACAAAGTAAACCAATTACGACATGTTTATCGACAGAATTCATGCTTGAGAACTGTTAAATAACTATAATACTCTTTTATGGGCCATAAATTTTCTATTACTTCAATAATTGCGATAATATATTGTACATAAGCACTTACAAGGAATATGTAAACGTACCTAAGAAAAGCCTTCAGATTAACAAGGACTTTGTTATTAGGGCATGGGTCTCTATCGACGAGCTGTGCGAGCAGTTCAGCGAGGGTGTCGGCGGAGTGCGCCTGCAGCTCCTCGGAGGCCTCCTTCTTGATGCTCTCCATCAGCGGCCGCACCACAGGGTTCAGCCGCTCCGGCAGCGAGTGCAGATTGGCACACGCACCGGCTAACGCCGCTTGCACACTGGAAATATCAAATCATATTAATATTAAAAAAAAAAGTTTGGATGGATTGATGTTTGTTACTACTAAATTAAACACATCAGGTATGGAAGACCAAAACAGGCTATTTTTTTTATTAAATTCTGCGCATACGTAGTCGGAGTTAAAAGCTAGTTATCTCTGTTAGTATGCTTATGTAAAAATCTGTCCGTTTTTAGACGTTTAACAAATAATGTTTATAAACAAACTCAAACTTCTAAACTGATTTAAAAGATTATTTTAACATTATTTTATATTCATATTAAATAAATAAATAAATTAGAAATCTACACTTTCACTAAGTGACAAAATCTAAAAGGTTGAATGAGATACGTTGTTTTAGCAGACAAACGGCAGAATACTGAAACGATATTTAAATCTGCAACAGCGTCTTAAATAATAAGGATACGCTTAAACTCCAAATTAAATTAAATTTTGACGACGGACAGCTTTTTAACAGAAAGAGTATTTCCAATATATGTATATGAACATACGAGACATTAAACGTGGCCTGGTCTTGCGCGCACTGCGTGGCTGCAGCCAGCAGGCCCGCGCGGCGCTCCTCCAGCGTCTGCAGCACGCGCTTCAGCTTCAGCCCCGCCACCATCGGCTGCGTCACCGCGCACATGTGCACCACCTGCATACACACATAGATATATCCCCGTCTTATCCTACCCCTCGTCGATCACGTAAGTCTATCATCCATCATCACTCCATTCTGGATCACCTTATACCCTTATTACCTTATCTAGCGTTCGTGGATCATGTGAATAAAACAACTATGGTTTCTCTAAATATTTTTGAATCTCTTTGCCTACACCAGGCTGGCTAGATTATTCTAAAAAACAATTATAAATCCAATCCACCCCTGATTGGTCATTTTTCCAATTAATGAACCATATTTATAACTTGGTTATTAGACTAAAACATTTCGCTATCAAATTTGAAGAATGTTTTTATTATTCCTTAATTTATTTAAAAATATCTACAATACCTGTTCTAGTCGCAATATATTATTGAACTCTTCGCCATCGACAGCCAATTTATAGTGTTTCATCATTGCTAAGAGATCGCGGGCCTCTTGTAGTATCCTGAAATTTAATTAAATTATTTTATATGACATTAAGTAAATATTTTAATGCGAAAAGAACATTTTATTTTGTCATATTATATTTTTGTTTAAAAATTACGAATATAGCAACAGGATTATTTACCGATTGCAGTTTAGTGCGACCTCGTCGTAATAAAGAGCTTGGTTGAGCGCCGCGTGTAACGTACTCGTCAGCAACTCCGGTGCTAGACATGATACATCTTTCTGTTCACTGCCATCCGCGTTCTGCGAAAAAACATAAATATAGCGTTTAATTTATTATACGAATACTTTAAACAAATGTTTTGAGAAATGAAACGTTTTAAAATAGGTGAAAATTATTTATTTGACTTATCAACCCTTACTGAGATAACTAGCTTTTGCCCGCGATTCCGTCCGTGCGGAATAAAAAAACACAAGTAAGTAGCCTATGTGTTCATCCAGACTATGTTCTACATCTGGTTTAGTAATTCTACAGATACCTTTTAAAATCAAGCCATCTAAATTATTGCATTAATAATATTAGTAAGACTGACCTTTATTACAAACACTAGATACACAGAGAGATGGAACAGACAAATAGATGAGATATAATTTCTCGTCATGTTTCTGTAGTGAAAACGTATCACATACCTGGTCACCGTTAACCCCGTTCTGCGCATGTGGGGGGTACATGTTGGTGGTGCGCGTGTACCTCGCCCACGCCGACACCACCAGCCCCGCCACCAGCCGCTGCAGCGCGCTGCCTGACCGCAAGTACACTATCATCACCTGACAACATAGGTACATTACAGAACAATCACATCACATCCCTATCTATTAATATTATAAAGAAAGATTTGGATTTTTAGATATTTGTATGGATTGAATTAACTCAAAAATTACTGGGCCGATTTTAATTCTTTTACCATTAAAAACCTTCGTAACCATTGAGTAACGTAGGCTACTTTTTATTATTTATTTTTAATTCCACGGTGAAGAAGTTGCGAGCAACAGCTATGCAATAAACAATTAACAGCAATCAAAGCATAATTTTGAATAATACTTATTTTAAAATGCCCTTTACTTTCGATACGCTATGGGTTGTTTTTATGCTTTTTAATTTAAGGGTTGAATTAATTTAAATAGTCATGCGGTAAAGACAAGCAACAAAGAGGTAAGGTTACCATGGTAACAGTTGTTAGCCAATCAAAGGCCTACGTTGTCGTCTATGCATTTAAATTAAAGTTAAAATTTTAACATTTGCCATTGAATATAATATAATTAATAAAGTTTTTATAATATCATTCCCATAAAGATAGTTAGTACATGATAAAACTAAAAGGGGCAAAATCGGACAATTTTGGAATTTATCATTCTAAAACATGGTACATGTTAATTCTATACCTTGACATAACAGTGAATCGGGCTTTCATCTTCTGATTTATATTCTATACCAGGCGCCGGTTGCACCAGGTAACACGACAGATGTCCTGAAATTATAAAAAAATACTATCAAACAATGTACAGTTATTAACAGAAGTTTACATAACAACACAAGGAGACAACACCCGACTCCCATCGTTATATATACGGAGATAGACATTTAAAGAACATCTAGACGAGGCATAGTAAAAATTTTTTCACGGGTACTTTCTCTGAAAGGTATTCTATCAGTTGTCAAAATTAGTGCCAACTCTTGACTGTTATGTTATAAGCTTTTTTAAAAAATAACCCTATGTCAAATACTTCAAATACAATGTATTACATTGACATGTATTATGATCTATCAATAGATAGCGGTAGTGATGATCACGTCATTAAGGTTACAAGTGAATTCCTTTATGCCTCCTCTATATATTTGTATATCTTTGAACGGAGCACGCTTCGCTATACCTTTAACGAATAAGTTTTAAATATTTACGTTTCCTTATAGGATAAGAGTACATATTAGTGGTATGTCATAGGATGTTACCTAATATATCAGCGGCGAGACAACGCGCGCGGGTTACATTGCGGTCGCGGGCGACTGCGGGCTGGGATTCACTGCCGCCGATAAACCACTTTTGTATAGGACGCACCTCCGCCGGCACTTGCTCCGATAGTAGCGAACTCGTGCGTGTACGCCGCTCCTTAAAGAAATATTTTATAGTTAGTATACTGCAAAAAATAAAATGGCTGATGTCTTTCACTATTAAATGATATTATAAAATCAATCTCACTAATATCATAAATTCGAAAGTTTAGATGGATGAATGTTTGTTAGAGTTTATAGCCTAAACGACTGAACGGATCTCTGTGAAATTTGGTATTGACGTAGAGGATAGTCTGAAGGAATACATAAGCTATTCATTTTTGTGTGTGTTTCTTTTTATTTCCATGCGGACGGAATATAGCATTTCAATCTTTTTGCCCAGTCACCTTAGAGTTACGCCCCACTACAAATAAAATTGACTTCTACGCAACAACTGCTTGCGTCCGAGCTGCCATATTTAAAAAACATTAAACAACGATTCCATTCATTCTTACTTAATTGCGACTATGGTTCTGAAGTTAAGTGACAATGAATGTAAGTCATACAAATCTACACTAAAGAATTTATTTATCGACTCTAGTATAAATAAGAGGTCACCTTATGTGGTGTGTAGAGAAGCAGCGAGGGGTCCACGGGCAGCCTGGGCGGCTGCATGGCGAGGCACATCCACGTCGCCAGCATGGGGCACGCCGCTACAAGAATCACCTCCAGTGCCGCGTGCTTCAGTAAATTATCCCACACCTGGAAACATCGAATTATACTATCAGTTCGTATTCGTATAGTGGCAATATATTAAAAAAAAGTATAAACAAATTAAAAAATATATTTTTAAGTTAACTTCTACCTAACATAGGTATTAAATGAAAGGCTTGACTGAGTACAGTAGACTGAAAAATCCAAAATGGCCGCTGTTTTTATTAAATGAAAAATATAATATCATTAAGATAAATCAAGATGGCGGCCATTTTTAGCATTTACATAAGACAAACACTAACCTGCAAAGCGACTTCCTGTATGTCATGTACGTGTTCAAACAGTACTCTTTGGTACACATGTCGCATAGCGTCTTGTAACAACTCCGGGGTCCACGCCAGCAGCCTGCTGTCAGCTTTGCCGTTCACTTTGACATCCAACTTGTCGTCACCGTTAGTGTCGTCAGTGGTCACCAGAGGGCGTGTGAGCGTGCGCAGCGTCTGTAGTGTAGCTTTGCGTACTGAACTTGTTGAGTGGTCGAGGTAAGGCCAGAGACGCGGTAGCACATCGGATAAGTCGATGGGGCTGTAACATTTAGATTACATCATTTTTATGAGATTTTTTAATAAATTAAACGTAGATTTAAATTGAAATTAGACTGTTAATTATGAATTTTAGTTGAAGAATGAAAGTTATTTAGTATAACTTGAATTAATAACATACTGTATGGACTTTTATAGGAAAAATGGCAAGTAGATCATGCATTTTAGACTAGTCCGATCTAAAATCTGATGTCTCTCTCTACATAATCAAATATTAAAATTTCAACAACTTCTATTTATCTCTATGGTTGAAACTAAAGTAAAAGTACGTTATTAAGACCAAATACATACTGCAAATGTTTGGCTGCTTGTGGCAAAGCGCAGAGTGCAGCCAGCAGCGCCATGTAGGCATTAGCCGGTGCTGCCAGGTCATCCTGGTCCCTCAGCAGCTGCCACAGCCTTGCGGCGACTGCTGGCAGCGCGTGCGGGCGCGCCGCGGCCAGTGCGGCGGCGGCGGGGGCTAGCGCGCCAGCAGCCACGCCGGCAACGTCCTCCGCCACATCTTCTAACGCAGCCACCAAGTGCTCCAGCGCGCCAGCCGCACACGCCACATCCTAATATTACATTACATTTACAATGCGAAAAACACCCAAATTTCTCAAAACCAAGTTATAGATATGTCTTTTTTCACTTTTGTCGTTCACTAATTTCAACTTACCGATCATTTGAAATCATAACAATAATCGAAGGCGATAAAAATCTCTAGTAATATTATAAAATAAGACGTGTCTGTATTATATATTCGTTTTTATAGCTTTACAATCATAAAAAGTTTGTTTTAAATTCTCATTTCTATTTAATTTCACTACAATTACAGTGCAATGCAAAGTTAGCATCCGTGTATTTAATTACATTTACTTAAATGCATACATGCATGTTTATTTTGATAACAAAGTAATGTATACATACCTGTCTTGCTGCGAGCAGATACTTGAATGCCAGCAGTGCACCGTGTCTCGCCTCCCACTGGCGCTGGCGCGCCAGCGTGGCCAGCGCGGCCGCCACCAGCCGCACGCGCGCCTCGCGCATCTGCGCCAGCGCCACGCCCAGCGTCTGCGCACACGTCTCCCGCACTGGCGCCACCACCTGCACACGCACTGCCTTCACTACGATGCTCACATTGTAAGTGGATTTACTAAGTCCAAAGATTTTTTTTAACTTATTTATCAGGGGGCTTTGTCTTGAAGCGACGATAACGCCCTATAAGTCTAAAACCAACAAAACTAAGTGCTCTAATTATTTTGTTAAACAAGTACAAGCATGGGTGCTTTTTTTTTGCTCTGTGTGATATGAACAACATTAAATCACTCTTATTTCGTTCGCCTATTGCTCAAATTGCAACAATGCGAGACAATAAAGTAACGTTTTAAAAGCGCTGCAGTATGAATTGACAGGAAATGCATTTAAATGTTTTCTTTTTTATATCGCGTTATAAAATTGCGAGTGACTAATTACCTGATCCGATACAAAATCCCCGAAGCGATCCAGGGCCAAAACACAGAGCAGTCTTAATGCCATATCCTCCAGCCACTCTTGATGGGCGTCTTCCATCTGAAAACACAAACATACATTTTAAATCCATAATATTTTATTAAAATGACACTGCATTACCAAACTAAAATACAGGAATTTTTAGTTTTTGCCTAGTAATGCATTCAAGATTGAATTTCCCAGTATACTAGTGAGTACTAGCCTGTTGTTGAGTGGTGGCGGGGCGTCGTGCGGCGCTGGCGCTGACGCGCGCGCGCAGCAGCTCCCGCAGCGCGCTAGCTGCGCCGTGGCGCGCCTCCCACGCGCCGTGGAACAGCTGCGCCTGCAGCGCCGCGCACCACCCCTCCAGCGGCCAGCGGCACGCCGCGCCCCACACGCCCAGCCCGTCCGGCACCGCCGCCTCGCTGTCCACTGCCAAATATACACACGTACAATTAAAAAATAAAACAAATACACACTTATTAATTAAAAAAAAACTTGCTCTCGCTAACCCCGTCCGCATGAATTTTAAAAAAAGTAAATAGCCTACGTGATCAGCCAGATTCCCTACATCTATGCCAAATTTCATCGACTTCGTTTTAGCCGTAGAAGTTGAAAACTCTAACAAACATCTATCCATGCATGTAAACATTCGCATTTTTAAAATTAGTAAGATTTTACTTTCATAAAAACATGTAATATGCATTTTTTTCCCTATTTTCTTAAAATGAACCATTTAAACAGTGGTCCTTCAAACCGTTTTATCAATTAAATTACTATCTACTTGTTAGTCACTATTCCTTTGTCAATTTGTATAAATATACAAATCAAACTTGGAAATAAGTTAAGGCATTTAAAATACAAAATTTCACATACACATTGCACAAAAATCACTGTATTACATTGAACAAGTCAATGCCAAAGCTTAAACATTTCTTTCCCATTTTCCGCCTTTTACCAAAAAACTACACAAAACACAAACCAATAAAGTCCTCCACAGGTTCCAGTTTAATTTTCTTCCTGTCTGGTTCCAGTATGAGTGCTGTCGAGGGCGAGGGCTGCGCGGCGGCGGAGGGCCCCTCCTCGCAGTCACGTGACTTCTGTTTGCTGAATGCGGCGCGCGCTCGCCGCTTCGCCAAGTTTATTTCGCGGGAACTCAGCTGCTTTGATGCTGTTGGCACCAGTTCTTGTACCGGCCGCTGGAAAACATTACGTTAGTATTTAAATAAGATCTCAGAGTCATCTTAAAGTCCGTATATAGCTACTTGTGGTATAACAAAAAGAGAATGACCATTTATGTTTTGTTTACCAGTAATAGACCAGTGATTTTTTTTTTGATTTAGAGATTATTTACTTGTTAATATCTACGTATATGTGTCAAAATAATGCAAAAACGTTATTTGTTGAACTTCATTAACTATTTTCTCACAAATCAGGCCAATTACAGATTTTAGGTTGTTGTCATTGAACACTTAAAACTCCCCCAAATGAATCACATTCTATTAAAAAAGTCCGAAGTTGAAAGGTCAATATCCTTTACAAATTAAATTGTAAAATGTTCTGTACTCACTCGTGGAGGCTCCAGTTTCACTTGTATCTTGACAGGGCAGAGATCATCATTGGTATACACCGAGGTGAGGTCCACGCCCAGTTTTGACGCCACATCGAGACCAAGGCGGGCGTTTAGCTGTTGCCTTTGTTTAGCCAACCGTTCTTTCATATCTGAAAAAAAGGTTGTACTGTAGCAATGAAGATAACTTAAGGTTTTTAATTATTTTAATGCATTTTATTCGCGAAAATATCGTACGTACAATCGCGGTAATCCGCGGTGTTATACTTTAGGAAAAATAAAAATAGCCATGTGTCTCTGACATATGTTTTTTGTACACACATTTATAAGTTATGTTCTATTGTCTCCTGTTCCGTGTCTCGTTTTAAAAGATTCAAACGATTGTAGCTTTAAAGGTGTACAACACCAGTTTCCACGACTGTACCTACATAAACATCAAAGCAATATTGTTTTCACGATCTCACGGCATTAAATCGTAGATCTAGATTTTAGAATATAAAGAGATTATCTCACCTCCAGCAGAGAGTGCAACTTCCTCAAGGTCGTACTCATGACCTTCGGAACCCATAAGGTGTGCGCCATTCTCCAACACACGCTCGATATCGAACGTCTCACAGCGGAGCAGTCCAACCTCTTCTGCATCCATCTTTTCCTCTGGAAAGCATAAATCACCTATGAGTTTCTGGAGTCGAAACACATGTACAAATCTATTTTACATAAGACATAAGTGTTTGTATGTGTTGACAGTGTAAATTTACAGTGTTTTAAATATATTTAACTAGTTTTCGCCCGCGACTCCGTACGCGTAGTATTAAAAAAAGCCAAGTGGCCTATGTGTTCTTCCAGACTATCCTCTACATCTATTCCAAATTTCATTGAGATCCGTTCAGCAGTTTAGGCTACAAACTCTAACAAGCAAACATCCATCCATCTAAACTTTCACATTTATAATATTATACCAGAGAGATGTCTAAAAAAAAGTTCCTACTGCTGATTTAATTAAAAATAACAAGATTTATCCTTAATAAAAAAAAAGTCACGCGCCTGCCAGATACATAAAAAAATGAGATTTCAATTGAATACTTGCATAAATATACGCATTATAATACCAACATAATGATGATTACGCTATGTGGGCGGAAACAAATTCATTATAGTAAAGTAACTATTGCTTATACAAAACAAAAATGCAACAAAAACTTATCAGTACGGGAAATCGTACTTTCCTGTTCACATCCGTATCGTTGGGGACAATAGTTCACTAATAGTTAATCCATATAACCATGGACAAATTATCATACTAATATTATAAATGTGAAAGTTTAGATGGGTGGATGTTTGTTAGAGTTTATAGCCTAAATCGCTGCACGGATTTCGATGAAATTTTGTGTTGATGTAAATAGTCAGAAGAACACATAGACTAATATTTGATAACATATGACTACTAATAGTTACCATACAACATATCGCCGTCTCTTTCTATTGCAAGCGAAGGACATGTTCTTATCAAATGCATTCATAGTATAAATGCAGCTTTATTTAGATGATTGTTAAAATAAATTTAGGGAACATCGAAAAAAACTGACAATATTTAAAGCCGAATTAAAGTAAATCGGCTTTAAATATCAAATGCACTACAATACAAATAAATAATTCATTTAATTATAATGCAAGAATTAATTAATAACTATAAATTATGACATAGAGTAAAATAATAGCTTTGTTAATTGCTCGTTAATTCACATGTTGAAAAGAATGCTTTTATCCGTTGTTTTTTCACAACAGTTTTAGTAGGAACAAAAACCATATCGAAGTATATTAGCGTACAATCTACCAACGAAGTATTTTATTGAATAATCGTGAAGCAAGACATCATTCATACAGTTACATAACAAAATATTTTATAACCCTGTATATAGTTTTACTTTTATTGCCAATAGACTTCGTCATGAACGACACCATTAGCTTTTATTGGCATCCTCCCATTCAAAGAATAACATAAAAAATGCATTAGAAATGTCTATAATTCTTTTATATATCTGTATTTTTTTTGTGACTGAATGGCCAGTGTTTGCCCTGAAGAGGTATTTACAGATTCACCGGGCTTGAGGTGGCCGAGCGCAGATGGCGCTTAGCCTAAACCTCGTTAAAATATACCTGTAGTTACCGGTCATTTGTATAAACGTAATGCATTTTCATGTCTGACGGCGCCCCAGCGCATTATACTCTCATTTTCTATGAAAATGGAGGCGATAATATGTAAATTTAAAAATACATAGGTTAGGATAATAAATATTTTGTTGGCAATCAATCAATTAGCACAAGTTGATTGGAACATATGGCTCGTAAACAGTGTAGGCAAGCCGACTAATTGATTCCTCATAGTGCACCATAAAAGAAAGTGGCCACTCCTCATAATTACTTTGCTCGCGATTTAGTCCGAGCAGAATTCAAAAATCTAGTAATAAAAATAGCCTGTGTCATCCGGGGATAGTGAAATTTCCTGACAGCGAAAGAATGTTTAAAATCGGTTTAGCAGTTTCGAAATCTTTTGTTTCTTTATTCAATGCAAACAAATCTACAGTTAAATCTTCCCTCTTTATACTATGTATTGTTATGAAGAAAATCAGTACTGCGCTGGAGGATTCGTGCAACACTAGATTATGCGTCTCATCCCTATCTGACAGCTGTCAATGTCATTCAGACGTATTGGAATAGCGCGCCATTCTGACAGGAGGTAGTGGCCTGAGTGTTTTAATTAGGTTGATACAATTAAAATCATCTCTAATAGTAATAATAAACTAGTGTTTCACCAAGTAGTAAGCTCCCGTTTACTATATGTTTACTTGTCCGACTTAAAACTTGAACTTTGTTAAGAAATGGTGACGGAGTGAATTGAAACGACCGGTATGTGCTTACGAAGTCGAAATATATATTTCTTTCTGTTCACATTTTTATAATTGACATATCAAACAAGGAACATGACAAAACTTAAAAAATATTAAACAAAAATTCGATGTCTTGTACATACAACCTCGTTTCTCAACAAATAAGTACATATAACGGTTGGTCTAATCATAAAAAAAACTAACTACAAATCGTTATAGTTACATTTTTTAAACAAACGTGATCGTGATAAATAAAAAAGGCATTACTATGACAAAACTGTCGTTTGAATTGACTCATGATAACTACAATTTAACTATACGACATTTCTGCTCATTCATCATTACAAAGTACTGAAAACATAACAAACGTAAGTATAGTATGTCAAAAAATTTTCTGGCTTGATACGAGGGACGCCGTTATCACGATTCGTTTCAACATTAAATATACATATAAGAGTACTTAATAAAAAAAAGTAATTAATACGGTACGTAAAACGTATTAATGACTTGTTTGTTTATTTGAACACTAGCTGTTGCTCGCGACTTCGAATGCTTGAAATTAAGAAAATAGTAAAAAGATTATGCCTTTGCCTAAACAATAGTAGCCTATTTTACTTACTGATAACAGAAATTTTAATGGTGCAAGAATTTTTGGAATCGGTCCAGTTTTCGAGTTATTTCAATACATAAAAAATACAAATCTTTCCTTTTTATAATATTAGTATAGATATAGATAATAAGTACGTTGACGTAATATTCTAAAAAATAATATTTTCTTAGGAACAATTATAACCCAGTTTTGGGTCAGATAAATTTGAAGCTTTATATATTCTTACCTTTTTTCACGTTGCTTTGCGTGGGATGCCATTCTGGAACATTCGAGAGTATCGCTTCGACTGCCTATAGAACAAAAACAGTCCATTAGGGGTGTTCAATAGTAACAGTCAATTTAGCTAAAATTATTGCATTTGTGATTGTCAAAAAAAATCAGAATTGGTAAAAGATTTGAAACTCTTACGTAGACTAACCTAAGCTAAACAGTGAACCTTAAATCGTTGTTTAATGTATTTAGTAAAAACCGGTCATCTTTAAATAAATTCGAAAACAAACACGTAACATTATTAAAGGTTCGTGTTGCTTTCACCTCAGAAGATATGCGAAAAGAAAATAACGTAATCGTAATATTGTGATAATAAATCCAAAATTAAGATCGTCTGTGGCTCAGTGCTTTAAGCACTTGACTTGTAATCTACAGATCTTGGGTTCGAATCCCGCCATGTACCAATATGATTTTCGAATTTTCATATGTACATAATTTACCCGACGTTCTTACGGTGAAGCAAAACATCGTGATGCAACCTGCACATATCGGCGAAGAAATTCAAAGATATATGTGAAGTCAACCAACCCGCACCGGGCCAGCGTGGTTGACTATGGCCTAGTCACCCTAACTTAGAGTTGGCTCCGGGCCCCTCGGTGGGGAAGTACAGTAAGCTGGTGATGGATGATGATGAAATCCAAATTAATTTAGGTTTCAAAGATGGTCAATGTAACATTTAACTGTTGTACAGTATGTTCGTCTTACTTCTTATGCCACTTGACATAAAACATGACAGTGTAATGTAATACATGGTGTAGGTAGTTACGCCCAATTCAGTCCCAAAGCCAGTTTCACAATAACCTGACCGCATTCTAATTACTCAATTAACATTTAAAAAATTCGTTTTGTACATATATTTAAAGTATGACACAGCCTTCTATATGTACAGTTAGCTGCATAAATCTTACTAATATTATAAATTCAAAAGTTGGGATGGATGTTTGTTAGAGTTTATAGCCTAAACGACTTAACGGATCTCAATGAAATTAAGAGCATATTCTGGAACAAAGGTTTTTTCCTTTTGTTTTATTTTAATTCCACGCGAACAGAATTACGGGCAAAAGCTATTAGTTATATATTTATCAGTCTTTATAAACTCGAATATGGCTTCAAAAATATCCATTGGACCTAACCGTCCGTATACTTCCGATCTTGAATACAAGCATGCATATATTTGAACCCTATACATGTGTCTAAAGTTTTATAAATGTATACATATTTATGCAGTTGACTGTACATAAGAATTACATTTCTTGTACCGCTAGCGTTGGAATTTGTAATTTATAGATTCAAAATTTTCAACAAACATATTTTTAGTTTGATCTTTCCTCCTTGAGTTTTATTTAGAACCATAAACTAAAATGTGCCAAAGCTATAAATACGTTCAAAAAGAGTTTTCAAGTTACGATACAAGGATACTGGTTTGTTAAAACTTGTATGTCTAATATGTTAACTGTGCATTATTACTAGAGTTTTATTCAAGAAGGGTATTATTAACATCTGAAACCGACATGCACTTATGCCTAGATATATAAATATCGAAGGATCGCCTTACGGAAGTCTACCCTTCTAGGTTACAAACATGATTGTGTTATTAATATAATTCCCTAGGCGACCATTGTTAATATGACATTGTATGTGTACCTGTGCGGCGGCTATCCTTGTCTCCCATGCGGGCGAGCGCAGGTACTTCATGAGACGACCGAGTAGCCGATGCAGTTCCTCGGGGTGCGCTTTCTGCACCTCGCCAAGCTGGCGGGCTGCAGCCCGCCGCGTCGCTGCCCCCGCGCCTGCCTCCAGCAACACGAACAGGCGATCTAATCTGCATTACAAAATACCCCTGTTGTTAACTATCCATACTAATATTATAAAGAGGAAAGATTTGGATTTTTTATGTATTCAAATAACTCAAAAATCACTGGACTGATTTCAAAAATTCTTGCAACATTAAAAATATAGACTATATGTTTACTATTTTTTATAATTTCACCACCTCGATGTCACTAGTCTGACATCAAATCTTAAATTGGTTAACAGCTGTAGTCATTAATCAGTCACTATGGATGTCCCTAAGCATAAGGAAATGCAAATCTACTATGTTAGTTGTGGCTTACGCAATAAAACGTCAATGTCGGCATCGCGTACCTTTGCGAACTTCTATGAGATCGTATTGCGTAAGTCGCTTAGATTGAATAACTAATTTTATAGGTGTAAAAAAAATCGATACAAATGTGCATGAAATTCACATATTTGTTAGGTAGAATGATCGAGTAAATATTAAGTGTACGTATACAGTAGTATCTTCCTATCTTTTTTAATTTATCGCTGATTTACTATAAAATAATAGAAACGTAACTGCAAGCGAGTGTTATGCTTTCGTATTATAGCGCTACTGTGGGATGCCTTTTGATCTTTTTAAGAGCACTTGAATCTTGGACATATTTATATAAACATTACACTTTTAACTTTGCTTTAGTTGGCAGAGATCCAATAAGCGGTCAGTGGTCGATGAAGGTTGTGGGTGTCGGAAATAGGTGATTTTAAAAAGGTATAGTGACCGGTAACAAATTTGTCACGTCGGGAACAACCCTTATGCCAAAAGTGCCAACTTAAGCGCCAGGTATTGTTAAGTCTGTATTCATAGACCGCGGGAAGATCAATCCAAATAAGATAAGTTCTGGAAAAGGTATAAAAGATGTAAAGAAGTATATTCTTCTGTACTGGAAGTGACTGCGTTAAAATGAATTTTAAATACCGCCACATCAGGTAATTTATCATGTAGAACAAGACAGCCTTAAATTTATAAAAATAACTAGCTGTTCCCGCGCGGCTTCATCCGCGTGTAATTATGAAAATTTTATTTTATTGTTTACATTTGTGAAATTATCAAGAGCAAATGTCAATATGACACGACATGACAAACCTTGGCAATCTTACTTTCTTGATGTTGGCAGCAACTTTTGGATTTTGCCAGTAAGTGGTCTCTTTCCCACATTAGGGTTTTTATCCAAAATATTTACCATTAGGTTAAATGGCGTGAAAATATATAGCCTAAAGCGTAACGTAAGTGTAGGGCTTTTTATTAAAAAAAAAAGAGTTATTCAAAAATATACTGTAATTGCTGATATCTTAGGCAACAAAAAAGTGTGTGTTTACGCTTCATTGTAATAAGTATAGATTATAGAAGTATAGATATAGATTACCATTTCAAACATCAACGTAATTCACGACAATAGTCGGAAGATTGATAGAAACCGAGTGGATGAAGTGTCAATCAAATAGGAACATTCTGGAACATACCTTGACGTCATGTTGTGGACACAGGCAACCTCTTTTTCTTATTTGCACTGAAACAAAGAAAAAAATCCATACATAATTTATTGCGGTTTATTTCTATAAAAAATTTTATGTTGTACATTCGAGTCTGGTTAAGTCATTCCGGACATACCATTGTCTATAAATATCTTAGCATCAGACTGAGCGTCTGGGACTAACATAGGTCAAGTATTCGAGAGTGTTGAATGTAAATGACGTAAAAAACGGAGTTGGATACAAAGACACTTATAAACTAATAATTACTCGGCGCACACCTTTGACTAAACTATCGCACAACTATTGTGCGATTGTCGATTGCAGCCAATTCAACTGTTTAGTTGCACAACTATAAAACGAGTAGTGCGCTACCTTCATATAAGCTCATAGAAATCAAAGCTAGACTAAACAGTAGTGCGATAGTTTTATCAAAAGTGTGCGGGCGCTCTAAGACGAAGTGATGCAGAATTATAGATTGTATGGAAGATGTGGGTAAGAAGGAATTGAAGTCTATTTTACTGATAGAGATGTATGGAAGCGATCATACTAATCATACTTCATACTAAAATTATAAACGCGAAAGTTTAGATGAATGGATGTTTGTTAGAGTTTGTGGCCAAAACGGCTGTACGGATTTTGATGAAATTTGGTATTGATGTAGACGATTGTCTTGAAAAACACATAGGCTATTCACTTTTTTTTTATTCCACGGGGACGGAGTTGCGGACGAAAGCTTGTACTATAATAATCCTTATTACTTATGTTTTTTAACCCAAAAGTAGGAGGTTATTAATTCATCTGTATATTTATTATGTGTGTTACCACATAACTCCGGCCATAGTGGACCAATTTTTAGGTCGTTAATTTTGCTACATACAAGACATTCACAATTTCAACACATGTAATCTTACTAATATTATAAATGCGAAAGTTTAGATGGATGGATGTTTGTAAGAGCTTAAACGGCCGAACAGATCTCGATTAAATTTGGCATAGACGTAGAGGACTGGCTGGTAGAACACATAGACTACACACTTAAGTTTTTATAAATTCTACGTGGGCGGAGTCGCGGCCGAAAGCTAGTACACAAAATAATTACATTGTTTATACGGATCTTAGCAGACCATTGTAACACATTACTTCTTTGATGTATTCACATATCGATGGCATTAATTCGAATACTTTGAAACGTGAATAGGAAACTTAAAGAGCCATTGATTTTAATATGAAAAAAAGGATTTTGTTTGTTGCAATACCTTTTCGAAATAACCATTTAAATGCACCACATGTATTCTAAAGCCCGCTACACACGATAAGTTGTAACTGAACAGTTTGATCTTTGAGATGCTTTGATTAAAATTAAGAACTGTGCTTATTTATCTGAACGTTAAAGAGTGTTCACATAAAACTGTCAGATACGTATGTAGCGGGCTTTATGTGTATAGACAGAAATATTGATTTTCCGGTACATTGTAATTTGCAATGAACCATGCGAGCCGCAATGCAGGTATAATAATAATTATCTTTTTATTGATTCTATTTTTACCTTCGAAAGTATTATTAGGCATTTTCTAGGTCAGCACAAATCAAATACTAGCCTATCAGATATATTACGAGTAGATCAGCAACTTCACGTAGTGCGATAATGTCCATTGACAATTTTTTTTTAATGATAATAGATACCTAGACAGATTCTCAACAATCACCGTCTACAATTCTACTGGAAAACATCAAAACCAATATTAGAAAGGTTTCGATATTTATGGTCCATTTATGTCACCATCCAGCTGTTATTAATACCTTAAAAACAATCCAAAAAAGAACGCGCGATCGTAGGGACAACTTCTTTAATAACAAATATTGTTAAAAACAAAGAACTTGAATAAGCAAGTTAATTTACATTGCAAACTGGATTTGAAATCATTGTGAAACCAAATATTTTAAACGTATAAATTGTAAACAAGTGGCCGGCATAGGTAACTAAGATTAGCACTGGCCAGCAATGCTGATAACGCTGCAATATGCCCTCACTGCAAGTTGAATAAACGAATAACTAAAGAAAAAAATGGGCCTGATTATGAGTGCATTTTCCAGCTAACACCACTTATAATATCCTATATTTTGGTTGTACTTAACAGAAGCAGCCGAAATACGTGCATGCTTGCGTTGATGAATGTAGAAGGTAAAATGGAAATACGTGGTCTCTGCCTACCCCTCTGTGTATCGTGTATTTGATTAGTAAATCCAGACCATAAACTTGTTAAATTAAACTACATTCCTATAAGAATTATATCCTGTCGTGTAAGTTGAAAGACATTTAAATGTCGATAACCTGTTCCAAATCTGTCAGTTTATTTTAAGGGTCACTATGTTATCGTACTTGCATGAACACTGTAAATATCATGTCAATCGATTCATTTATTATCAATATAATAACAAAGTCTACTTTCGCCTGTCCATCTTCAATTACTTATACACAATTTTGTGACCTATTAAACTAGGGAAATACCATCAGCACTCAAAAACAACTTACTGCCCCCGCACATACTGTCACGCGAAAATAATATAAAAGATAATCGGAGTAATGGGCGCTTTCATAAAAACTGATCAATCAACAGACTAAACTATCGACCGATAAAAAGTGCGTCAGTGTGAGTGGAGGATCAAAAGTTTACGTAAACTTCTGCCTCAAGAACGAATTTCTGAAGAGATTATTCCTATTACTTCTTAATATCCCACGAAAAGGCTGACAATACAACAGATATCTGCGAATGATGGTTACCCACATTTTAAAAATCTTTGCCTCCATCAAATGAATACAACGTAAAAAATAACAAAACCGGCTTTAAAGTTTATTTAACGTAACACAGTTTCTACATTAATGTATTGTATTTATTTTAAGCCTTGATGTATTTTATGCAGAATAATAAGAATATTTTTACCTTTTATCAAATAAAACGTTACGGAATAAGGTAAGTCGAAATATTTAATGAAAAAATCAGTATTTTTATCACGAAGACTTACACTGACACTTCGATCTGTGCATGTGTTTACACTGTCAAAACACTTCTACGAAAACAGATCGTCATCATTACAACAGTAGAATTTCACTGTAAAGATAAGACTACCCCGTATTGTAGCTCACAACAGAGTCGGTTAGGAGCGTCATAATCGGTCATATCGCTTAATCAGGATCTAGCGCCCTGGTTCCCGCGCTAGCAATCTGCACGCCCAATGCAGTTCCCCTACACTGCATTTGATGCAATTTGACGCACCACAGGTCATTGCCCATACCAACCAAGGTTTTCAATATTTTATCACCAACATGGTCACACTGCCTCAAAGTTTGTATGAGCAATGGTCGAAGTACAAAGCGGGAGTTATGGGCGTCGCCAGGCGATGATGGATGCTAGGTCTAGATTCTAGAGGGTCAGCTACCATAAAATTGTTATATGAACAGTAATTTTATGTATACATTTTTGGAGTACCCCATAACATTCCTAGCAACACTTTGGAAGTAAATCATCAGTATTACCCAAACCACTGAGGAAAGCAAACATCGCCTGTGTATCATATCTTACTATCTACAAGCTATCAGGTCTGGTTTTAAATTATTCTGACAGACTGAAAAGGTACAAGTGTCCATCATTTCTATAACTAAATTTAGGAACCATGTTAACACTTTTGATAGAATATATGAGTATGGTATATTATATTGTAAGCTTATCAGTTGGAATATGAAATACAAGTATTCTATAAATGACCTCAAAAGTGATAGCACCATTGTGATATACAGAATATGTGGGTGATGTCAAATTATTTTGTGTTTTACTTCATGTCCAAGGAATTAAAGATCACCTGCTTTTATATTCACTTTATTAACTTCAACAGGAATTTTTAAAGCTCCTTTTCATCATACATAACAGACTACATATTTGTTATCATATTTCAACCAAATCTGCACCAAATATCATGTGGAATTATGGTCAAGCGCCAGCTTACCAAAGATTACAAAAAAAAAAGACTCTCCAAAGACTTCATTGTCTTGTTTGATCAGATTAGATTGTTGACCTAAATTACATAATTGTGTAATGATGTCCTCCATGATCTACCCTATCCATGGTGAACCTTGTTATCTCCAAGAGTTCAATCTCTACATTGAGATTACTAGTTTGATGTAAGCATTACATACATATTCATGCAGATTAAGGAAATCTTGTTATTACTAAATTTATAAATAACCTAGAATGTGTGGTTAACTTGAACTTTCGTTTCACTAGCTTTTGCTTGTGACTTCACCTGCATGGAGTTGGAAAGAAACAAAAAGAAATAGCCTATGTGTTCTTCCAGACTATCCTCTATATCTATGCCAAATTTCATTGAGATCTATTCAGCCGTTTAGGCTATAGTCTCTAAAAAACCTCTATCCATCCAAACTTATGTATAATATTAGCAAGAAGTAAGATTTAAATGGGCATATATTTTATGCAAGTATGATGAATGTAAAAATTAATTGTAAAGACCAGCAAGATGTACTTTATTGTCCTACAAATTGACATCTATCAATGTATTTTAGTAAATTAACTTGCAACTTCAATAGGGAGGTGATACTTAATTCCATTGGTATTTTATACATTCACATTGAAATACTTTTTTGTTTAGTTATTGGTATTTTTACAAGATACAGCTATTACAGAACACAACTAGTCATTTATTCTCTGCATTTGAATGTCCTGTTTACGGTACGAATATCGACAGCTGTCTTATTATACGATTAACATAATCAAATTGAATCGAAGGGATTTTTCTTCTACTTATCAGGTTTCCAATGTCAAAAGTCAAAACATACGAGCCTCTGATTTTCACATTCTCATTTATACAATTTTATGTGTACGTTTACGGAATCTATGCGTGAGTTTACTTTAGGCTAGGCTTAGGAAATAAAATGAATAATAACGGTAATATGTAACACGAACCGTTCACTCGGCTAACATATGGCCGTGCGACATGATAGTATTGATTATTTCAATTAAATGCATTGCCACTCGCTGCCTCCCTCTAATAGTGACCTTGCTATAGTTAATTAAAGACTCCCACTTACACGTAGCAAGATTTCAAATTATTTTTCGATGTCACGATATAAGGACAGATTTATCTCATTACAATTTTATTTTTTTATTATTAATTTATAAAAGTGAAAATTAACATTCCATGTCTTACCTTGCGTAACAAGGCAGTTATCACGTCACAGCACCTAAATCGATCCATTTTATAAGCCACACAAAATCACACACGATAACATTTTCGTTAAATTGCACAAACAAAAAAAACCAACGTGACGAAAGGAAGCGCATCGTCCAAGCTTCAAATTTATACTGACAGCCATGCTGCTGATGAGTCCGTCTTTATTGTGCACTTGCGTGCTGATTGGGCGGGCAATACCTCAAAAAAATTGTAATTGCAAGAATCCGCCAATCAAATGTGAGAATTTAAAAACTGTTGGACACTAGCCAGAAGTTTGCACGCGGAATTTAAACTTCAATTAGATAAAATATTTTTATAACTGCAAATTAAAGTCTTGTTTTATTTCTATAAAATACACCCAAGCAACAATTTCAGTGCAAAACAAGACGAACAGAGGTACGAAAAGCTTTATTAATATATTTCCATAATTTGTGCAGTACCAAATTGTACATTGTAAGGGCTGTAAGCGTTATTTATGTTGAAAAATTGTACTACAGCAATGAATCTCGAGTATTACCACTGAGTTTTAAAGTTGCAGTACTTTGAAACTTCAACACTCATGAAAATGCATGAAAAGGAAGCGTTAAGTGTCAGTGTCAGGCAAGTGTCATCACTGTCATCTGTCATGACATCATTTCATAACCTATAAATGTCGTGAGAATAAGGTTATGTTTGGGAATTGAAATTGTGTTCATTTTGAATTCTCTAAAAGTTTACACTATTTAAGAAAATGGGCAAAAGAAAAACGAAAAATACTGAAAAGAAGAAGATTAAACTAGTATTTGATGAAAGTAAAAGAAAGTATGAATAAACCTTTATAAAACCAAAAAGTTGTTTTCTATCGAAATGTTGTTAATGTTGTTGTTTTTGTTTTAGAGATTATTTATGCGGTTTTCGTAAACGAAAACTAGAAAGGAAGAAGAAGGCAAAAGAGGAAATGGAACGAATGTTGAAAGAAGAGAAGAAACGAATAAAGCAAGAGGTGAGTTTAAAAGTAATTTTCTATAAAAAACAGTCTAAAACAATTTCTAAACCAATAAAATGTATTTTGCGTTCTGCATATATGGCTTGACGAATATCTGTCTTGTTATTTCAGAATAAGGAATCATACAAAAAGCTTGTGGTATCCAGCCGCCCTATACCTGATATTGAACAGCTGCTTCAGGAAGAATATGAGGATGAGGATGTTAATGTCAAAATAGTTGAGCTGTCTGCAGATACACTGCAGAAAAAAGATATAGTCATAGGAGAAAACAAACCAAAAGAAAGTGTTGACAAAGTTGTACATACAAAGAAAAAGAAAGAATTACCACAAAAAGTACCGGGTATGGGTTCTGATGAAGAAAGCGTTGAAGCGTCAGAGGCAGAAAATGATGTAATCGAAACAAATGACACTAAGTTAAAAACTAAAAAGGAAGTAAAACAGATGCTGAAAAGACAAGCAACAAAGAAAATTCAAAAGAGTAAAGTTTTTCAAATGAAGACTAAATTGGATAGGATACAAAATAAGAAAAAATCACAACAAAAGAAAGGTCATATGGCAAAGATGAAATCAGATTCGAAAAAGAACAAATCAAGGAAAAAGAGTCATAAAAAGAAGCAAGTGAAATAAAAGTTCTGAAATTTTTAAAAATGTTTATCATTACAAAAATCAACAATTTATATAAACATCTCGTAATTAAAACTTTTATACAGAAAAAGTTATATAGAGGAACAAAATCAAATATAAATGATAACACCCTTGCTTGCAATTATTTAGGAAAATTTGATGATACGATAGAAATAACCAGCAATACTTTTGATAAAATACACTGTTTAACTGCTTTCTTGAATTGTAGTTTAAAACCAAATGGAGTTATGAATTAAAATAAGAACATGCATAGTGAATACTATTCTTTGTACGATTTCTTTTTCTTTACTCTTAAATTAATCTTCGATTCATTTATATCAGTTACATTATCATTAGTTATTTTATTTCTAGGAGATTTCCTTTTTAATTGCAGTTTTTGCGATGTGACAACAGTTTCTTCTTTAGATTCAAATTCAGAAACTGGAATATTTTGTGATTGACTTTCATCACAATGTTCAACACTATCATCTTTTGGTTCAACTTTTAAATTTTCAACTTTGATTTCTACCAGTGATTCCATTGGTTCTTCTTTAATATTTAATTTAGTTTCTTTGACATCTGTTGAGTGTTTCAAAGGTGATTTTTTATTCGGAGATCTCTTTAATTTACCACTGGATGGACAAATATCTTTGTTTAAGCATTTATCGCAAGAAGGTCCGAGTGGTAAGCAAATAGTTTGTCCGAATCCCACCATAAGGTGATTTACTTCACTCCATAATTCAAATGGGAGCCAGGATTCAAGAGATTTTCTTGTGTCCTCTGGAGTGGCTGTGGGTTTTTTGACCCAACCTATTCTATTACTTATTCTGTGAACATGAGTATCAACACCTGAAAAAGAATGTAAAAAAAATTGATACTACGGAAGTAACCTATTTATAACCACTTAGTAGCTCTTTCAGTTATTTTTCTGTTAATTTTTACGTTATACTTATTTTCGAATACTGACTAAATTTCAAAGGCTTGCTAGTTTTAGGAAACTGATGGTTCTTTTGTGGATTAAATACAAACATTCAATACTGACCAATACCAGTCACCTTGTCCCAGGCTACTTTCATACAAATGTGTGCCATTTTCGGACCCACTCCTGTAAGCTTGCAAAGTTTTTCCACAGAATTTGGTATATCTCCACCATATTGATCCTTCAATGTTTGTGTTGTTTTCTTAATGTATTTTACTTTTGTCTAAAAATGAATAAAAGAATTCGGTAAGTAATCTATACTAATTTATAAAGAGAAAAGATTTGAATTTTTGTATGTATTAAATTGAATCTGTAAGTACTGGATCAATTTTTAAAATTCTTTCGCCGTTAGAAAGGTAATTTGTATTTGAGTAAGATAGGCTATATTTTTTAATTATTTCTATAATTTCAAGCATGTTGGTTGCATTAAGTCTTAAATGCATTACATTTGCCCTAGAATATTGTATAAAAAAATAAAACATACTTTCCAAAATCCAACAGGATAAATTAATTTGCCCAATTCTTCATCGCTCATAGCAAGAACATTGTCAACAGACAAGCCTCTTTCTTTTAATCTCTCCATAGCAGCAAAAGTTACTTGATCCTTTGTTTGACTTGATAACATCAATGATATAAGTGTTTGATATCTTATCACCTGAAATATAAAAAATAAATTTACCCTATTACTTATTACACTAACCCAAATAATAACAATGTAAAAATTAAAAAGTGAAAATCTCACTTTAGGTGGTGCATTCTCATCCATTGTCATATGACAACCCATTGAGTCTACTGGAGCATCATTTTTTGAACGCATCATCCTCAAGTTGTCCAGAAACTGCCTCCAATTAGATGGTTCCCATAGGCCCTTATTGTCCTGCAAATTTTATAAATTATTACATGTCTTAATAATGTTGATTTTTTATTTAAAGAAATAAAATATTACCACTTTCTGTGTATTCTCATCATTGTCAAACTCTATTTTTATTTTCGATTTCTTTTCAAACTTAAACTTATTAAGGTCTATCTTCCCACTGATTTCTTCTTTTTTTATTGGTTTTATAACATTTTCAGTTTCGCTTTTAATTTCTTTTTCGTCATTCGTGTCCGATTGTTTCGTCTTTCCTCGCGGCATTTTAGTGTTTGTATACTTATTTAGAAAAACCCTTAACAAACAAGGTTTGACCCTTGAAAATAACGTTTTAGATGTAATAAGTTGATTAGATATATATTTTGACTTAAATAGTATACGCTATTAATTGACCAAGGATTATATTTGGACAACCTTGTAACTTAAATATACCTAATTAACGTTTTCGAAACCAATTTATTTGTAAACATTGTAAACAAACCCGCAAGAAACAGTTTTTAAATCTGAAGACAAAGACAAAATGTTAAGTCAAGTGTCGGACAACCATAGATATATGTATTAACATTTTGTATTCCATTTGAAAACATGATTTTTTTTATCTGTATTGTATATTTTCAGTCTATGCTGACATTTGTCATCTCCTGTAACTTTACCTTTTTGTCATTTTCCAATTTACTATTAATGAAAATCAAAATATTTTTTGGTTATTGCTTAAAAGTCTAATTTGAAAATTATTAAACTAATATAATTAATATTGGCCCTTATGAAGTAGGAGTTATTTTTAATTTAATATAAAGTTTCTTATAAAATGACTGAATTACTACTGGACCCTAATATTCGAGTTTGGGTGTTTCTGCCCATTGTAATAATCACTTTCCTTGTTGGAATTGTAAGACATTATGTTTCGATTATTTTATCATCTCAGAAGAAAATCGAATTGTTGCAAGTCCAAGACAGGTAATTTTTTTAACTTATGTTAATGAACTCTGGTAACGAAATTTTTCTAAGACGATATTTTATTAAATTCTTGCAGCCAAGTCATGATCAGAGCTCGTTTGCTGCGTGAGAATGGCAAATATTTGCCACGACAGTCCTTTGCTATGCGTCGGCATTTTTTTAACAATGAAGATACTGGATACTTCAAAGTACAGAAAAGAGCTGCAGCTTCACAGGTATACCTTGGTTTTTTTAAAAAAAAATAATTCTACCATCTATTAGGCTAAAGGGTTAATAAGAATAAAAAACATGATGTAGTTTATTGCTATTCACCTAATTTCATCATAATTAGTGGTTCAAATGGTAACATCAGCTTATCTTGAGGTTTGTAGAGCCTAAATTATGTTAGGGGTTTTTAGGCCTTAATCAAACACACTGGGTAGTGCAGATTAGTTGACTTGTATCACAGTGTTTTTCTTATTCATGATTAAATAGCGGGCAATAGCCTGCGACTCCGACCGCATGGAATTCAATAAAACAAATATAAGTAGCCTATGTGTTCTTCCAGAGTATCCTCTATGTCTATGCCAAATTTTATTGAAATCCGTTCAGCCGTTTATGCTAAAAACTACAAACATCCATCCATCTAAACATTCGCATTTATAAGTAAGATATAACATTGATTTTGTCTTGTTCACAGAATCCAATGACTGACCCTGGAATGATGACTGACATGCTGAAAGGGAATGTAACCAATGTACTGCCAATGATTGTTATTGGAGGCTGGATCAACTGGATGTTCAGCGGTTTTCTTACAAGTAATATTTTATATATGTTCTTAGACTTTAAATGAGGTGTGGGCAAATAAGCTGCAGATTGCTTCTAATAATTGAACCAAAACTATAGACATTAATACAAGAGGAACAGATGTATTGTGCAATTGAATTGTAAATTATTGGCATTTTTTTCCAAAAATAGTGAAGAAGCGTCACATAAACAATTTTAGGAAAACACATTCTCTTTTCCAGCCAAGGTACCATTCCCATTGACTCTAAGATTCAAACCAATGCTGCAACGTGGAGTGGAGTTAGCATATCTTGATGCATCCTGGGTGTCTTCTGCTTCCTGGTATTTCCTCAATGTTTTTGGTTTACGTACCATATACACACTTGTATTGGGTGAAAATAATGGTAAGTATTACTATATCTGGATATATTAGTATTTTCTTTTGCCCTCTGGTTATAAAAATAATAGATGTTTTATTTCAGACTAGATTTATACTTGTGCCAAATTTCATCAAGGTCTATTGAACTGTTTCGAAGATAACTTCTAACAGATCTATCTAAACATTTGTATTTATTAAGCAAGATAATTGAAATATATAAATGTATGCATTTCCGTGGATAATCTCTGCAGGTTAAGGATTGTAAAGATTTCTTATAAAAGTGTAATATTTAGGATACATAGAATTAGTATTTATTACTTTTTAAAGATTAACTCCATAATTAAATCTGAATAGTGAAGACACAAACTAACATGTCCCATAGCTTTATGTTGATTAATTCCATGAATTTTTTACAGTTGTAATTTTTTTTATATCATTCTTTATAGCTGCTGATCAGTCAAAGGTGATGCAAGAACAAATGTCTGGTGCAGCGATGGCGATGCCTCCAGACCCGAAAGCTGCATTCAAAGCAGAGTGGGAGGCTCTAGAGATCACTGAACATTGTTGGTCTCTTGCTAACGTTGAAAACGATTTACTCGCTACTGATAGTAAATGTCTGTAAATGTGTTTAACCCTTTCACTGCCACTCTTCCTTCTACTTGTCTAGTGAAAGAATGAGCATTGATTGTGTTATCCATTTTGTAGTAAGCTAAAACTTTTAAATATTTATGTTAATATAGTAAAATGGGTAATAAAGTTAATTTAATCTTTACATGTTTTATTTTTGTCTTTTATATAAGTGATATTAAATAATGAAACAAATATTGCATTTAAAAAAACATTTATTACAATGCAAATATGTAAACCATATTATATACAAAATGGTGTTTCTGTACAATCGCCAACAAATATTACTCAAACACACTATGGCCATATTTTTCATAACAATCATCAATAAAATGTTTTTAAATTTAATCACCTGATTGTTAAAGGCCAGTCCCACAAATTGTAAATGGTCTGATATCAATCCAACATGTAAAATATGTGATGGAAATATCGGATTTTGTTCCTTTATCTGACAGTGTCATTTTTAAGCTATCTGAGTCTCTATCAGCCAGGAGTGGAAAAGGCCCTAAGCATTGAATAACATAATATCATAAAAAGTACAGCAATAATATAAGAGATAATAAACAGAATATATATAGGCTGAGCAGAAATATAAAAATCCTCACTATATTAGGGAAAAAAGGAATAAATTTTAACATTAAAAAAAATATACAATTTTTTTTGAATCTTCAATAAAGTTATGAATTTAAATGAATATAAAATTGCAAAGGTAAAGACATCATAGTGTGTTATTATCCTCTAAGTATTTTTATTGCTCGTCGAATTAAACTTTCAACACTCAAGCTCGGTGTAACCGTGAGTTTCCACTGTCGATACACTAATAGATAAACATTGTCATATTTTTACACAACATGTAACATGTTGTATAGATGTTTCGGCAATGGAAACTCATGGTAAAGCGGCAGTGACCACCAAACACTTCTGCAACTGTGGAAAAAAATACAAATATCTATCAATTACCATTTTTAAACATTTTAATATTCGCAGGTAATTATTAACTAGAAAATGTCTTGGTAAAAACTTCCTAAAATTCTTGGAGGTAAGAGTCGTTTCTAATATCAAGGACATCCCTATATGCGCTTTTTTTTATTGCACTATTTTAAGAATAGGCAATATGTACCAAATTGTACCAAACTTTTTTAAAGTATACTTTATAACTATAAAAACATTCCTGCAAAGATTTTTTTTTATATAATGTGATTTAGTGGCAAAATTTAATCATTAAAAAGTGTCCTTTTTCAAATCCCCTCGCTAAGTTCTAAAACGCACACTATTGGTCGAAGCAAGTGGCTTATCTAATATGACGTCGCTGTGTTGTCAATACACAGTTCATTTACGTTAGTTTATATAGAAATACACTCTTGAAGTATTTTACTGTAAACAATATAGAAACTGAATAGAATTATTAATTACCACTTATTTTTACCAGGAATAATAAATATGAATCGATTTTTGACTTTTTGACCTTGAGATACTTTGTTGTTTTTTATATCGAAGTGACATCTGTGCGTATGTTATGAATGGAATAAGACGATTGACGTCAATTGTCTTATGTCAACTTTGGTCGCGTTTTAGTCGCGCGAAAATGGTCGTAATTTTATTTTATTATTTTTAGCACAATGGTTGAATATCGCGTAAATTTTTTTTCTGGTTATTTTATAACAAGTGAATCGTTTAAAAATAGGAAAAAAATACATGAATATTCGCTATTAACCTGTGCTACTTCTTGATGAGCTGCACGACGTCCTCGTCTTGCACGAGGTGCGCAACGCCGACGCGCTGCGGCGAGTATTTGGTGCTGGTGCCCCACACCAGCGCGTACTTCAGCTGCGCCGCCAGCGACCGGTGGATGGAGTGGCACACGTGCTCGATGCTCACACCCTGCACACTCACACCACTTTAGTGTTTATTTCAACAGTCCCTTAGTGTAGAACCTTAATAACTTAACACCGACTTGGACGATACTTTATTAAGTACATCTATTAACCTCACATCTATTGATGTTTCTTTAAGTAAAAAAATAAAATATGTGTATGATTAGAATAAGTATACGAAATTTAAAATTCCAATTGAAAAAATACCCGTTTTTATTTGATTTTTTTTCTTTTGAGAAACAAAAATGGGTTAATTTCCCGTTAAAATGTTTGGAAACTTACAAATTGTATGACAAGACAAGACAAGAAGTTTGCTTATGTTATAAATGCAATAGTTTAGTTATGGATGATTGTTAGACTTCGTAACCCAAACTACTGAACGACACTCGATTAAATTCGTAATAGATGTAGAGGATAATGTTAACATATAGGCTTATTTTTTATTCCACGGACGAACTCGCAGGCGAAATCTAGTATAAAATAATTTAAATTAGTTTTTAATACCTTTCTAAGAATGAGTCCGTCATCGAAGTCCGGCGGCTGTCCGGGCTTCTTGGTGTAGACGCGGATGAGGGAGAGGTACTCCCACAGGATCTCCAGCAGGTAGTCCAGGTTCAGCTTCATGTTGCAACTGCACAATAAACATCATTATAAAAACACCTCCATCGAATTCTACAAAAACAAGGATATAATTTCATTGTGTTAATAATAATGCTATACAATCATTGTATACAAAAAAAGTTTAGTAAATTCATTTTATAACAGTGTCAAAGTAGGGCGTGATCAGGCGACCGCCCAGGGCGAAAAAGGGCGTTGCCCAGGGCGCTAGTAGCGCTAGAACCACTGGTAATAAATATTATTTATTAAATAACCGTCATGACTGAAAAAATCTAAGTATGGACATTAATTTATACAATATAAATAGGAAAGTTTAGATAGATGTTTATTGCCTGAACTTATGAACGGATATTGAAATATGTCAAAGAAGGATAATTAGAGATGAAATTATCAAAATTAAGTAATTTGTAAAAAGATAAAAAGAGATATAGAGGATAGTCTGGTAGAAGGCATAGGCTACTTTCTTTTTAATATGTGTAGGGTCTCGGGCGAAAGCTAGTTTAGCTAAGTGTACCTGACGACGACGGAGTGCGGCTCGCGCGCTATCCTGTCCACCTCCTGTATGGAGATCTGGTCTATCTTGTTGTAGACGTAGATGCAGGGCAGGTAGACGCGGTTCGCCAGGATCACGTCGATCAGCTCGTCCGCGGTACAATCCTCGCGGAAGAGCACCTATAACATTGCAATACTGAACATTTGTCTGATATCAGAATCTAATATTGGAAAATAGATACAAACTTCTTCAAATTAAACTATATTATTGGTTGCTACTCCCTCTAGACCTAGTCTAAATCATCTGAAGTCTAGTGACATACATGTTTGTTAATATTGAAATAATGTATTTACCAGGTTATACAGGTATAGGAATATATTTACAATGTGAGCATATTTAGCAATGAAGTAATAAACTATAACTATTAACTAAGGTATTGGGAAACCATTTCAGCGGATTCAGGTAGCCACTTGCTCGTTTACCACCTTATGACATAAAAAAATGGAATTTGCAGTTTCAAAACTATCTATAAATAAAGAAAAGCTTACCTCAGCATTAAATATTTTATATTCATGTAGTATCATTTGCACCATCTTCTCATCCACTTTTGTTAGCTGACATGTTGAGTTGAAAGACAGTCCTCCGCCCTTCTTCACCTTTAAAAAATATCATACTAATATTATAAATGTGAAAGTTTAGATGGATGGATGTTTGTTAGAGTTTGTAGCCTAAACTGCTAAACAGTACTGTTAGGAACAAAATTACCGTGCTATAGAATTGGCGCAACTCTAGATTATCGGCATAAACATCACGTCCCTAGCTGACAGCTGTCAATGTCACTAGAAGTATAGATAGATTGGCGCGCATTCAGAGTCTGGCGAGAAGTATTGCTCTGAGTTTAAAGCGACAGTATCAATTAAATAAGTTGTCTAATAGTACTCAATGAAATTTGGCATACATGTAGAGGATAGTCTGGAAGAACACATAGGCTACTTGGTTTTATTTTAATACCACGCGGACGGAGTCGCGGGCGAAAGCTAGTTATTTAATATTTGACATTACATGTTATTTTTTCTTACTAATATTACAAATGTGTAAGTTAGACTGATGGATGGATGGATGGTTTGTTACTGAAATCTCACTAAAACTTAGCATAGGTGTAGATTATAGTCTGAAAGAACACATTGGCTACTTTTTGTAGTTTAAAGTCATAATGTTTGTTACCTTAAAGTAAATATTAGGTTTATTCTTATTGAGCCTGATGCCGACACTCTCCAGCTCCTTCTCCAGCAGCTGGCGATGCACATACGGCTTGGTGGCGTCCAGCATCATCAGCACCAGGTCAGCTGTGCGCGCCACCGCTATCACCTTGAGAATTATTACCATATTTGTGACATTTTGATATGGAATAGTACACACAGAACTGGACCCTTCTATATTTATTTATTAATTGGAATTGGAATACACCAATTGCATGTTCAAAGTTCACAATCAAGTTTATATACAGTACACAATGAAAAACAAAGAAGTAGAAGAACACACAGATGACAGGTGTATACAGCACTTACAAGAAAATGATGTTATAGGATGTACTTTAAATTATTACTAATTTTACTTAATATCATAAATGGAAAGTTTAGATGGATAGATGGATGTTTGTTAGAGTTTGTAGCCTAAACGGCTGAAAGGATCTCAATGAAATTTGGCACAAATGTAGAGGATAGTCTGGAAGAACACATGGGCTAGCTTTTGTTTGTATTTATTCCAAGCGAACGAAGTTGTGGGCTACAGCTAGTTAATTATAAACTTTTATGATGTTGGATAAGTTTTCTCTTTTTTGGGATTATATATTAGTATGATACAGTACAAATTAATGTTAAAAATTGCTTCAATCCATAAGCTAAATATTAAAAAATCCACTAAATGCTAATAATCGAAACTTTCAAAGTATTACTATTAGACACTTCCTTGCTTTAAAATTAAATAATGTAATGGCTTCCATGTAAGAAATTTTGGATTCCTCTGTTATTCATTTAGGATTTTAATTGTAAAGATTCAAATCTCATTACCTGTCTTCCTCTACCTTTGCCCTGTGCAGCACCTTCTATAATTCCTGGCAAATCAAGTAGCTGTATGTTGGCACCCCTGTACTCTATGACTCCAGGGATGCAAGTCAATGTTGTAAACTCATAGCTAGCGGCCTCCGAATGTGTGTGCGTCAGTGTAGATAGTAAGGTTGACTGGAATTATATTAACACAAATTTTACAAATGTTAAAGTTTAAATGGAGATGTTGGTTAGAAGGTATCTGTCAAGTAGTTCAAGGGATCTTGATAAAATTCGGCATAAATGTAGATCATAGTCTGGATGAATATAGGCTACACAATTTTTATAATTTGTATGAAACATAGGTCATTTTTGTATGAGACTACAGAACAAAGTGTTGCAGGAGATTATATATCCCTTAAAAATTTTGTCCATAGATATTTGATGCAAGATTCTGATATAGTGCCTATTTTTAATGGACAGAGGAGACAAAACAGAAAAAGATAATTTATCTAGACATACTATCAGCCATTAAATCAGGCCTCAATAAGATTTGTTAAATAAAATAAATTATATGTTTTAAACACTTACTTTACCCACAGATGGGAACCCAATTAGAGCCACTCGGGCATCACCTGACTTCAATACATCGAAACCTTCTCCTTTGTCCCCACCTTTCTTGGAGGGCTCTAAAAGCTGCGAACGATACTTAGCAAGCTTTGCTTTTAATAGACCCAAATGATACTCAGTTGCTAAAAATAATAAAATTCAATGTAATTGCATAATAATATCGTAGAAACATATTATTGTATTGATAATAAACTATCTTCTAGCATTTCCTTTTGTATAATTTAAGCTTAAATTATAAATATACCAAAGAAATTAATTTCGAAGTTTGTCTTCTAAATACTCTAACCTAAGTTTTTACAAATTTATACCAAGAATAATGTTTACTGCAGAATTTAAATTACCTTTATTCTTTTGTGTCCGTGCAATTTCTTTTTCAATTTCTGATATCTTTTCTAAAATACCCATTCTTCAAGTGTCTTTACACCTTATAAAAACTTACAAACAATCCTACGTCGACAATAATTATGATATAATCTACAATACAAATATCATTTCAACAATAAGGGGTAAATTTTTAACTATAATTAGTACATAAATAGAATATTTTCAATTTATCGAATTTTATGATATTGAAAAGTTAGGTTATTTACTAGTGATGTCAACATCAAGTCAATGTCAGACACAGACAAAATGTCAGATGAACGGAACACTGACACCGTTCCGTTCCGAGTGCCTTAGCAAAATCCATTTTTTACTTGTTGAAAACCGTTGCTATCTGGATTACAAAAAGAAAATATTATTAAATGTTAAGAAGTTTTATGTGGTAATTTATTTTAAAATAATGAATACGTTTACATATATTTTTTTCCTATTGTTTCATGGAGGTAAATTACATTCTTAAAGTCTACTAAACTTATAAACTTACTTCATCAATAAATCGGCGAGGATTAAGAATACATTGCACATATTTTAAAATACGAAAATACTTTAAACTGTAGGAGTTTTTGTTGCGTTTATCACAGTAATGGCCTGCGCTGTTCTATAGGTTCAAAATTACCCCGATCTAGGATTATGTTTCGTAGGAAGCGCAGGCGATTTCTTGCCTATAAAGTGTACTTATAACAGGTTTTTTATTGTCTTATCTTCAATTTTAGCACTGTGTCTACATCCCAAAAACGATCAACGAAAGACCATCGAGGAAATGAGTTTAGAATATGAAGATGAGAAGAACTCAATGATAGCTATTTCCGAGACTGGTATTAGTTCAAAAATTACTTTAAATATTATATTTAGATTAATCAGCCCAAACTGATTAAAATATTAAAACAATTTCAAATCTAATAGACAGCAATACTTATGAAGATTTTTACGACGAGATGGATAATCGTTTACGAATAGGGCACTCAATGAACATGATATTCTTCGGACCTCCGAGTTCGTTCCTAAGACTTGACCCAGAAACTATCTTGCATCTATTAATACACACGAAAAAACAGTTAATACCAATCACCAGAGCCTTGCTAGCCTGGGATATCATAACAGGTGATTAAACGTAGATTTTTACCTTTAAAACCTTTTATAAATATAAGAATACCCACGAATAATTAAATTTGGGGCTATCAACTTTTAAAAACGTACTAACACTGACGAAAAAAACAGTAAATTGTTCCACATTCTGGCGCTAACTAAAGTCAAATCCGTAACCCATATGAGCATACATACCAGAAGTGCTGGTAGCCATAAGTAATTAGATTATTTTAACGTAGTTTTTTAAAAAGATAGTCAAGAACATTATTATAATTATTAATTATTTCAGATGGCAAAACAGCAGCATTTTTACAGGGTCGAGAATTTCTTGCTTTCGGTAGTCTGTTAAATGTTGTGCCAGAGGAAGATTTGTACTACGTTAATTTTGGAGATTATTCAGTATATAAATATTTTACTAATCACTATGTTAACTTAGATGATCGAAAGGTACTCGTACTTGAATTAATTTCATTTAAAATACAGTAAATGTAAGGTAAGTCCACTTTTTTTTAAATTCAGCCTGACCTAGGTTTCCTTGCGACTATCTGTTTCTTTTGTAGGTTTTCATAGAAACTAAAAACTGATTAGATAGGACGATATCTAATAATTATTATTTAGGATCGTTTCCATTCATTTACTAAACTGTTTTTGTTGCTTTTCAAGTATGGTGTATTGGTAGCGGCTTATAGAAGATATTTCGGTAGCGACTGGTACGTAAATGGGACAAGGATAAATGAATTAGGATTTTTGCTATGCGGTTTCCCTGAATATGAGTTTAGAAAAATTACACCGAACATTTTTAAAAAATTAAACATGGATGTCTTGGGTAGACTCCAACGGTGTAACGTTAATCAGAAGAAGGTTTATTTTAACTTATAATCTCATTAGATTTACATAAATTCTGATTGAACTGATTTCTGTACGACTTCAATTATATTTCAGGCGTTATTCGACATCGCTACTCATCCGGATGCGTATGGAGAACCTTATAAATGGTCGTCTCATGAAATTAATCGTCTTAACGAATTATTTATTTGTAAGTTCATTTATTCCTTAAGTACCTGCCTACTCTTCCATTACATAATGCACACATATAATGGAAGAGATTTATTTGCATAAAGATGTAAATAAATTAATAATAAATAATATAATGCACACAATCTTGTTAAACTATTACTATTTTTTCTGCAGTATTTCAAAATAGACGACTAATTAATTTGGTGACCCGTCCTCTTGCTCTTAATTATTTTAAAGGATTTGAAATAGGTTTGAGATTAATTATTCCTTTTTTATAGGTATTCCAAAAGAACAAATAAGCGTACTAGAGCTTGAAGCGATACCGGCGATCAGTCCGAGAGTAATGACCTTCTTAGATCAAACGAAGTTGCAATATTTCACCAAACCGCAAATATTAAGGATGAATCCAAAAACGAGACGAGTTTATATTTTAAGAATGCAGTTAAGGAATAGTTTGGATATGAGTCAAATTGCAAGGCAAAGGGGCAAACGCTTGAAGCCATGGTTATTTTGTACTGTCTTTGTCCAACAATTATTTAGTTATTATTGAAATATATATTTTTGGTTTCAATTAAATTCAACTTATTTTATTTACCGTTTGAAAATCTTTTTCAAATTGTATAAATAAAATTCCAACTTTAATTACGTTTAGAGTCACATATTATATACTAGCGATCGCCCGCGACTCCGTCCGCGTGGAATAAAAAGAAACAAAAGCAAGTCGCCTATGTGTTCTTCCAGACTACTCCACATCTATGCCAAATCTACTAGAAAACATTTATTGTGGAATTAATGAATAGATGGAGCTAAAGTGCTTAAAATAAGAAAGAAGATAAGAAATTGATTCTATCAGTAGGTTAGTAGTTAAACGAAAATATTAAAAACTGTATATTCTTTGATCAGCAATTATTATGACTTTTTAACTGTTTTATAATAAGTTTTTGTGGCATTTCAAATAACAAGGAATAAAACGCCTCCTTTAATAATGTAAACTTTTACTACTTGACGCTAGATGGAAGTTTGATCAATTTATAAAAGTAAACAACAGTAATATTAACAAAAAAGAGTATTGAAAAGAATAGAATCATTAATTCTTACATTTTAATCATTTAATTAATTAACTGTAGGTTTTTATGTTTACTACTGTAACGAAATGATTACATAAATTAAAATTTTGCTGATTTGAATGAAATAATTTCTGAATAAAATTTAGTTAATCAATTAATCTTCTTAAAATCAGTTTTGTCAATCAAATTGATGTTATCCTAGATATTAAATGAAGTAAGAATTGAAATCATCTAAAAATTCTTATTAGAATTAACACCAATGTCCGAATTTTTGAAAGAGGTTCAATTAAATTGCATTGCTGTTGAAACAATGAGAAGAGAAGAAGATTAGAAAACCATTAAATGGCTTTTTTCTTTTCTAATCTGCGTCTTTAAATAGAGTCTTTGCTAAATGAAATATTTAATTATTTTCTTTAAAACGATATATTCGATTAATGTTTAAACCGGAAGTGAATATATTTACGAAAAAGAACAGGATACCTTGATCATGGAATAGATTTTCTAAATTCAAATATTTGTTAGTTTTTATATCCGCTTAATTATCTTCCTTTAAATTATAAAAATTATAGTTATATAGTTATTCATTTTAAAAAAACATTTAATTCGTGCTTTACGCTTTTTTATACGGCTGTGTTTTATACACATGAGCATATATACTTATTTTAAAAAATTACAATAACTGATACATAATTTGATTTTTGTCAAGGTCAAATATTGGAACGCCATTTTGTTTATTGGATCAATCTTTTTGTTGTCTAGAATTTCATTTCTTTTTTTGACGCTGTCCAGAGGTGTCAGGTCTTCTACAGTAATATATTTAAATATTATAATTATATAAGTGAAGAATCGTATATTAGATAGAAATTAGAAATGTCTCCTATTAGGCAGCACTATTCATCAAGTACCGTTAATCAGTATGAATTATCGTCAAGATTATTGTCGCTAACCGAAAATGACGCTTCCTACACTTTGACGCAGATCAATGGGCAAAGAATTTTCAAAAAAGCTCCCCATGCTTGGCAGGGACCCGAACCATCTAGAAAATGTGAGGTAAGTATTTATAAACATGTGCACTCTCCATTGAACCTAAAGATAGTTAACGCAAACGTAAATTTGAAATGCCCGCCATTTTCGGAGTTACCGAAAATAATATAACTAAATCGTTTAGTTCTAATAGTTTTCGTTTTATTGGTCTATCAAAAAGTAAATTTATCGAATTATGTAGATATGTATTAATTGGTTTGTTTTTTTTTCAATACTTAAACTATACGCGCGCTGTACGCCATCTTGAATCTCAATTAAAATTATGTATTAAAATTTTCCATACGTATATTTAGTATTGTTCCATTGATGTCGTGGTTTTAAATCCATAGATATTGCTTTTGAAACTTCAGAAAATAGTTCATCAAGTGATTTAAAAAATAAAATTGCCGCCATTTTCTTTCTCATTATTGTCCAGATAGGTATATAAAGAATTAAAATTAACATAAAACTGACATTATCTCAGATTCCTCGCTACAATTGATTCCCTTCTGCCTCTCCAGGCGCATTTCAGTTTAATCACATCGTCTATCTCTTTGCGACGTACATTACGATGTTTGACGACCTGACGCTGTGTCTCAAGGTCGACCGCCGCCTACTTTCAAGGACTAACGCTTGGCAAACATTTTAGGGATAGTTTATTATTTCTGGTAAAGATGAAAATATAACGAGTAGTATTTTATATAACACAGGTTTTTATCGGAAGAATTCCTCATGATTGCTTTGAGGATACATTGGTCCCATTGTTTCGCCGGGCGGGTGATTTGTTTGAGTTTCGCCTGATGATCAACTTTTCCGGATGGAATAGAGGGTAATTTTTTTTAAATAATAAATAGAAGTTTTACTAAACATAACTTTTGATTCGAATAATTTCCTCAGCCTTAATACAATTTTTCTAAGAACTTTTGTTTTTATCGAATAATTTATACAAAACCATTGTCTAGATATGCGTTTGCAATGTACGCAACGGAATCTGAAGCGAGCAACGCCATCCGCATGTTCAACAACTACATGATCAGACCCGCTTGGCTCCTGGGTAAGTGGTAGCAAAAATTTGTGCTTCAACATAAATTCGTCATTATCAATACTTCCACCTGTTTTTATTTACTCAGTTCATTATTTGATTTAAAGTGGTATGTATCAAAGTAAAATTAATGATCGGTAGGTGTCTGCCCCTCTATTAACAATTGCCGCATATACATCTCGCGCATTCCGTCAACAACGCCGTCGGCCGACATCGTGCGGCTGCTGTACGCGTTGACGGACGAGGTGCAGGAGGTGCGCATCCGGCGCTCCATGGCGTCGTGTGCCGCCATTGTGGAGTACCGTTCGCACCGCGGTGCGGCCATCGCGCGCAAGGCGCTGGTGGCCGCGGCCTCGGCGGCATGGGGCGCCGGCGCGCGCCCCGTCGTCGATTGGTCCCTCCCGCAGTCGCCGCAGCTGTTGCGCCAGTATCGCGAGGTAGCGCATCTTTTGCCATACAAGGGGGGCGACATTTTATCCATAGTAAGTTACATAATTAAAATGAATATCAGGTGGGGCGCTGGAGTCCCGAGCGTGGCGTGGAGCTGGTGCGCACGGCGGAGGAGATGGGCTCTCCGCCGCCGCTTGCCGCTGCCGCCTCGTACTCGCTGGAGCCCTGGGTGCAGGTGCGCCGCATGCGCATGATACACGAGGCGGCGCAGCGCAACACGGCCGCGCACAATGAGTGAGTTGCACACTGTGTCTATTATAACATTTAACAATTATGATATGAATAGACAACATTTTGAAGTTATTATTGATTGATCTTTAAACATTATATGTAACTGTTTATTAAATCATGTACAATTGAACACTTTGAATATTTCTGTGTCAGTTGGGGCAATAGCAGCATGTCCAATGACATGGGTCTGTTTACGGCGTCGATGGCGTCGCTCAATCTCGGCGGCGGCCTTGGCCTGGAGGAGGAGCGCGCCGTGTGGTCACCCGTCGAGCCGGCCGCCGCCGCAGAGGATTACCTGCCTGCTTTGCAACGCAACGGCGGTGAACCATTTACATACCGTAATGGCGGCATGACTCCTGCACCACGCAATGGTATCGTTGCTTCTGCATCATACAATATTGGTGCGGGAGCAGCAGCAGCATATAATGGCGGCGCTTTAGCTGGTGGAGCCCGCAACGGCGCAGTGCCGTTGGCCTCGCCTGGTGGCGGCGGCGAGGGCGCTGGAGACTTGGGCGGGTTAGAGGGGCTAGGCCCCCTGGGCGGGCTGGAAGGTCTGGGCGAGCGCGGGGACGGGGCGGCAGGCGCTCCGGACGCGTTCCCGTCGCCGCCGCCGGGCGAGTTCAACCCGTGGACCGCGTACCATCCGATGCAGGATTTCATCGGCCGCAACGCCAGGGAGTGAGTCGCTCGCCCTTGTATTCATCACTGTGCAGGGTTGCTTTGGTTGATGGACCCCCAATAGACCTAGATGTTTTTAAATAATAACTTTGAAATATTTTATGTATTCTACCATGATTATGCATGATTATGGTAATGGCAATAACACATAGAATAAAATAATTTTATCATAAGTATATTTGATGCATACTAAATATGTTCTAAATTTTGATTTGCCCTGCACAGTTTATCCTGCATCTATTTTTTCTTAATGTTGTTTCTTTGTCAATGTTGATTAATTTTTTTAATGAATTAGGAATAACTATCCTATTTTTAAAATTTGCATGCCAACGGAATCACACGGTTTTCGAACGGTGTCTGGGACAGCTTTATCAAACATTTTTAGCAACTGGAAGTTCTATTTTTGCTTACAATACTTAAATATTTATACTTCAAAGGTAGCTGACAAAACTGACCCACTCGTAACTTAGCATTAAAACTGCGATATTGCAATTAGAATTACCTACGTTATTGCCTTGGCGGCGAGTCCTTGAGAGTCGCGCGTGTCGCGATATCCCTTGCGCATCCACTATAAAACAAGAGAGGTAAAAGAAAATATTTTAGAAACTTTTAATTTAAACATATATTTTAATTAAGAATCTAATTGGAAAGTATAATTGAATGTATTAAATTTTATGCTTTTTGTAAGACGAAATGGATATATTTAAGCGTGTGGTTTTTCATTGTTTAATCATTTAGAATATGAATTAAGTGCAACCGCGGCGGAGCGAGGCCTCCGCTCTCGCATAAGATAACCGCACGGAGATATATCTAAGTTTTTGAAGTTTTTTTCAAAGAAAATATTCATCTTATTGTAGTTTACTATTTCTGTCTATGGATTAAGTATATTTAAAATCAGGTTTTAAGAACTTAAATCAATTTGGAACTGTTTTCTCTGCAATAATAGAGTATACATGCATTATAAAATTGGCAAAATCTAAACCTTTTGTAGTTCGAAAATATGAAATTATCTCTCGAAGGTTTTTTAGTTTTTAACATGATTATTGCATGCCAGTGAATTAATTAAATAAATTTAAGTATAATGATTTAATGTGTGGCTTAAGTGTTTTATTTGGTATGTGTCCCTTGGTGATTGTGTGGAGGTTATGGTCCAATACCGGATGGTGGTGGTCGTAGTGGTGGTTGTTGGAGGTCAGTACCAGATGTGATCGTGCGCTGGTGCGGTGTGGGCGTGCGCTGTATGGTCTGAGCTTGCCGGCATGTTAGTGTTGTGAGGACTCTTTTGTTGTGTAACTGCGGGCGCGATATCTGCCGCGATGCCGGTCTGCGACAAGTGGGTCGCGCTAAAGATAGTGGAGTTTGTGAGTATTATCAATTCATTAGAAATTTTGACTTAGGGGTTTGAAGTGAAATATTTACAGGATGGGAAATTAAATTCTATCATATGTAAATCACGATAATGAACTCGTGATGCCTAGTTTTCTCACTGCTCTAATTTGATCTCGGGCATATTCTACAATATATTATATTATAATATTCAATATTCTACAATATGCCCGAGATCAAATTAGAGCAGTGAGAAAACTAGGCATCACGAGTTCATTATCGTGATATAGCTCTACAGCTGAAAATGCAACTTCTATTGATGAACTATAAATTTAATGAAGCTAATTTGAGTAATAGGATTATTTGATATTAGCGCGTGTACCTAAATTCAGTTTAAACAGAAAGAGGGTTCTATTACACAGTTTACCTGATTGGTAATAACATATCCTTCAAGGCAGTATCGCGATTTACTTGTCTCCACAGTAATTACCATTTTATTCACACAGCTTAGAACAAATAATTATAACTAAAAACCAAACATTTAGTTTCCTCTAATATGAATGACAATGTTCGACTGTGACTCATTAGCATACTTAAAAATATCTTAATTTGTTTTGAATACACTCATAATGTCGGAGTCAATTATGGAACATGGGCAGACAGTAATGATTCCTAACTAGGGTAGAAGTTAAACAAAATAAGAGTTGAGAAGATACTATGTTAGATATTATTTGTGTTAACTAAACAAAAACACTGTTAAAAAGTGTAATTGTAAAAAGTCAAATCTTAGATAGATTTTTGTAGTAGTGAAGAAAGTGGTTCGGTGTAGATTGCTCCCAAGGTATATTTTTTAAATAAGCCTTATCTATTTTCTTACTATTATCCAATGTAATTGTGTGATTAAATTAGCTGTTGTGTACACTTATATAAGTAAATAAATACGTATGCAAAAAGGCATTATTTCGTAGACAACTATTCTATCGATAACGACCGACTCAGCAAAAGGCAGTAATTTTTATCAGTAACTTATGTTACTTAAGTGTTATCACTTAAAATATTTGCGGCGTAAAAGTTTCAACGCAGTGTCTCTTATCTTGACAAAACGGAAGAATTTTTATGTCGGCTATCTTATTTGAATATTAGCTGTGAGTTATGAATTGCAGCTGAAAGGTATGGTCGCTTAAATAACGAACTTTTCGTATCAAAGTTAAAATTTGATGCACTAGGGAGGTTGTAATTGCGTTCTTTACTTAATTATCTTGGTCACCGATAGGAGGAATCAGTTGGCGGAATAAAGTGGCATTGGAAGGTGATAAAAATAATACAAGTATAACTGGACACCTACTTATTATTTCTTAACAATAAACAATGCGGTGGTACAACGACCCAGTGGTACACGGTGGACGCAAGTCCTCTAAGTTAAGTGCGAAGTTGCCTTTGACGGCACTGTCCATCGTGGGAACGGCTTTGAACGAATCTTTTATGGCGTAGGTCTTTTCCCTATGTGATGCAATTATTAAAACGTACGTGATTTACCTTACAATAATAAATACAATGAAACGATGTTTGTATTATCACAGTTAAATTATCGTAGTCAATTAATACTTAAGATTCCTACTTCAGTAACACTGAAAAAATATTGGCATAACTTTTTGTTTTTATTTTTTATTTAGTGGATTTCGTTGACGATTTATAAAAATAAAACTTTAGATGTGAAAGTTTTTAGAATTATGGTCTATAGTTTTCGCCCGTGACTCCGTCCGCGTGGGATTAATAATAAACAAAAGTGAGTAGCATATGTGTTGTTCCAGACTATCCTTTACATTTGTACCAAATGTCATCGAGATCCTTTCAGCCGTTTAAGATACAAACATCCATCCTTCCATCTAAACTTTCGTATTGATAATTTTAGTAAGATTATTTAACCTAATGCCATAGAACATGGTCAATAATTTACATAAGTTTGACACGATGTATTCCGTAACCAATGCGCACGCGCCTACGCAACGTAAACTACGACATGAGGTAATAGGTGTCCAATAGACGGTCGCAATGATTTCGACATTGGATGTTTTATAAACGAGAAGCATTCGTATTAATGGTCGGAGAAAAAATGAAGACATTAGGATAATATAATAACTGGTTAATCGTACTTGCTGATTATTTCGGTCATCGGTCTTTGATTTAAAAGTGGGTATACAAAAGTGATTTCTTAAACCTTAAAAATATCGTACATAATTTAAAAGTTTTTTGCCAAAAATCTTAGTTCTCATCTTTGTTAAACTGGTAATAATACTCAAACACACAAAGGATTATTTTTAATTATCGTTTGTTTTAATAACAACATCTAAACAAGAATTTTGATTTTGATGAAAAATTCAAACTATGAAACTACTATTGGCCACCTCTTTAAAGAAAATAGAAAAGGTCATTGAAATATTAACGACGGATATTGAACCTACTAAAATTTAATGTTTCAACTGAGAAGCGTAGAATATCAGATGAATAATTCGAATTAGTTTAAGGTTCATACATTTATATCAACTCTTGTACTATTTAAAAGGAACTGGAAGGCAGTGAAAAGTTCTCTGTTGTCTCAAACAGCAATGTAATTAGCTTATTCGTGATGCGTTGTCAGGTCTTCTGCGTAGCGTGCCTAGTGACGAAGCGCGTGTCGTCAGATGATGAGGCACGCTTGGCGCTGCTGCTGCAGAAGCTGTCTCGCGAGTGGTCGCTGCTCACCTCCGTCACATGGGACTCTGTCGGTGGGGCGTTCGCTGACGCTGTTTATGGAGGCTAGTATTTTATTTTGACAGTTTAATGTGTAAAAGTGTAAAGAACTGAACCTGTAAATAACTTTTTAGTTACATGTGTTTTCTTAAATGCACACGAGTAATTCAAAGGTTGTTATAAACAATCTGTTCGAACGCAATTAAACGTTCATCAGTTTGCATACTAAACCTATCAGCGGATTAATTCAATGCATTATTTCTATGTACTTGTGTGACATTGGTTTTCCTTCCTTGTATTGTCATTGTGTGATCTACTGATCACACGCAGAATGTCTTGTTATAATTAGTTTATTTATATTTTTAACCGTCTTGTGAGGAAAAAGTGTCTGCAGTATTTGTCCATTTTACCAACCCACGTTATAACATTGAATTATCGCAATTAGACGTAAATTGGCCATGAATTTTTTAAGGAGGTGTCAAGAAAAGCCTTTTTGATTTATGACTTATTTTGCGTTTGCTGTTTTAATTATGTAGTTACATACATATGAGTCATTTACGTTCATTTATTTGGTAAAATAACTTAACCATACTACTTTTTTTATAGGTTACGTGATAATAACTTTCGGCTTGATACTAGCACGAGTCTTCCAAGAGATCCCGCGAGGAAGACGGATATTGGAAGGCATTTTCCTTGGCTTCGGGCTACTGTTCTTCCTTATCCTAGGTAAGTCCATAATCCAAACACGCTATTTTATAGTAGACAAATTTCTAGGTTAAAGTATACGTTTTATTTATAGGTGGTCTAGAATTGGCATCCTTGGACTCCATACCGAGGAACCTTGTGGTAAATGCGTCAGTTCTTGGATCATTCTCTCTGGTAGTCGCGGCACTTTTCTTGCTCGATCTTATGGGCCCGAGGACTTACTATGCCAACCATCACACACAGACTCTGCCGGTTTCTTCACCGCAATTGAAAGAGAAAAAAGTCTCCATTGTCACGGCGCCGACGTCAAACGGCAACTTAGCTAATGGGAGAGCAAACGGTCACACTCCCGCCGAAAGGCCGAAAGATCTAGATTTAGAAAAGAATAGAACAGAAGTAGATACTAAGAATCTTGAGACCGATCTTTTCGACGATCATAAGAATGGATTTATAAAATTTAATGATGTCATTGAAAAGGAATTGGAGAAATCAAAATTCGGTTCAGTTCGAAACGGCGGCGTGGAGAATGAGAATTATGTGAAATTAACAGACCCGCTGACTGAATCGGATCGTATCAACTACGAGAGAGAACTTGCCAAATTCAACGAGAGATATTTCAGGGACTTTTTAGAGAGGGTCGAAGGGAAATTGTCGGTAAGAGAGGATTATTTACCGGAGCTGCAGACGCCCGTCTTCTCTAAAGTGAAGACCGGTCGGCTGAAGAGTTTGTACGACGACGTGTCGCCGACATATGAACAGAAGCGGCAGTCGAAGTCTCCCTCTAGAGCGAAGACGGTTAGCCCTCCGACGCTACAGCAGTTAGAAGATTACCTCCGAGGTTCAACGAGATCACGGCGTTCGGAGACGCCTGCGTTATTCCCTATGGAGCCGATAGAGGAGAGGGATCGTGAGGCGGGGGAGACAGAGGGACGCGCGTCGGGCACGCCCACAGACCCCGGCTACGTGCAGTATACCGCCGGCAGGTGGCCCGACACGCGCCAAATACGGACACCGAGGCACAGCCCCACTTAGACTTAATTTTTTTTATTTTAAGATTAATGTGACATATTTTTATAGATGAACGATTACATATTTTTAATTTTTATACGCAGTTTCATTTATACACAATGTTCAGGATTAATTTGAGATTTTAATCAAACGATTATCTAGAAACGGATGTTAAAGCAGATAATTTCATCAAAAATGATCTCAGCTTGAACTTCGGCAATAAGTTTTGAACAAAAAATGTATGATTAAAACATCTTTATTACAAATTAATTGCTTTAATGTGTATAAACAGTTCACGGATTTGAGCATGAGTTTTCCCACTTTGTCTAAATACAAAGAGTTTTCACACGATTTTACGCGTAACAAAAACTTCAGTACCCACGATCGCAGCGGAAAGGATAAGGAGTAATTCAATTATAACTCCGGAAAACATTCAATTCTATTCATATTTTTGTATTTTGAATAGTTTCAGACCTCTGCTATCAACGAACTCACATGAATGTAACCTTGAAAGAGATACGCTATATTTTGTTACGGAGACTAACTTAGACGAATAACGACTAACGACACTAACAACACATTTTCTAAATTATACTACGGAATTTTTAACATTTGGGTTTTAAAGTCCTCGAAAAGCAGTTAATGTCTTCTAAACTATATATTTAGTGCAAAACGACAGTCGAATATTCCTATCAAAAAGTTAGCTACCTTTATGAACTAAGGTTACGAATGTTGCAATCTTTGCACTACCGCGTTAAAACAATCTGTTGATACTCCATTGCTAATGAAATGAGCCATAACGCTGAATCGCCATAGTGTATTGTACATAGCACAGAGGTTACAACACTGCACTATTAGAGTACTCTTGACCTCACACGAGCCTTGGGACTTGTAAGCTGACCTTCAGGGATTTTGTTCAAACTTTTGGGTCCTTTTTTGTTATAAATACTAGTGGAAATAACACTAAGATTACGATCTAAAATCCTTTTTTTATATTAAGATAATACTTTCAAATTACGACTTTTAAATTTTGTTTTTGTATTACTACCTACGAAGACCTAATTTTGATTCTATTCGCATAAACGCAGTATTCTTCCGAAAATCGTTTTATATAATTATTATAAATTTTAAGTAATTGTTATTTTAATTTGAGCTGTCAAGTGTCGTGGGAGACAAAAAACTTGGAGCAATTAACATTGTGCGTGATCGGGCAAGGAACTGTCCCATTACATGCTCTGAGGTTTGTAGGTATAATTACTGTAATCTGGTCTCAGGTGTTACTTGACAATGACAAATTGTTTTACACTTAACGAATTTTGAACTAGATGTATCGTGTTAATTTTTTATTTTGTCAGTAATTTCATAGTAACTATGACAATATAATGTTACACAAGAATTACGAATTCATCGCTGTGTTTTGCATTTGTTTTTAACTTATTTTTCCTATAATTTGTTTCAAGTGATTATCAATAATATAACTCGTTTTCTTGCAAATGAAAGAGCCTCAAAGTTATACGAAGATTTATCTAAATGTAGTTAGTGTAACGCGTTTAAAATTTTTCACTCAATTCGTGTTTGCAAGTTGAATCATTGCATTTTTTTCTCTTAAATAATTTAAAATTCGTCAAATTGCAACCTTTATTAAAGTAATTGTAGTAATTTAAATACTTGTGTTTAAAAACCTAACAATACATGAGGAATTCTCACAAATTTTCACGCACGCCGCTTGCTGATTGCCTGACCTTACATACAAAACAAAATGCTTGGACAAGATTAGGTATATTTTCGATTCAATTTGATAACAAAAACGATCAAAAGAAGTGAAGGATGCCTCAAGGGTCTCGGGCGTAAAGAAATCAACACCCGACAAAAGATTGGAAACCTTTCTCATTTTTCATCTCATCATCGCATTTCCCTTAAGGATTTTCATCTCCCATCCCCCTTAAGGACTAGAAATACTATAATATTTTTAAAATACACTGTAAACTGCAATTTTCTTCAAAAAGCTGAATTAAAATATTTATGTGTAAGCAAACAAGGTCGGCTTTGTTACAGCATCTGAAGACAAATTAGTTTTATTGTTATACAGTTGATAAATAAACCTACAATAAACAAAATGTATTTGTTTTTCATCTAAAATTGATAAATCTGAATTTATACGTGACTATGACTAAGTATTTGTCTGTCCGTGCGTTGCGACCTCACTGCGAACTTCACGCTGTGAGGTTAGAATCGCCGGATATACGCCGTCGCCAATCCCACATTGTCAATTATGCATTTAATATTGTATAATTAATGTAAATATCAATGTTTCTGTCCACAATGGAACAATATGAACGATGTATTCGGCCATCTGTTTATATTATTATATTATTTTTGTTTCTTAAATGAAGACTTTGTTTCATTGCTGAGTTATCGAGTGTGGTATTTTATGCTATATACTATTTCTGTTCCAATTATTAATCTGGAATTACCTAGTAAATATCCATCTATCGTTCATCTAATTATCTACACATCCAAGCTTCATTTCTAACTTTATTATTGAGATTTGACAGCAAAGGCAACTATCTCTTTAATGCAAGCCGGATAAGAAAGGCTTGAACAATAATGTTTACATTAAAATCGTTCAGTCCCACTGAACACTTACGAGTGAGCACGGGGTCAGAGAATAATGCATAGCCTTGTGGTCGGAGACGCAGCCGTCGCCGCGTAACAAAGGACACTTTTTACCGCGTGAGAAACACCGACAACCAACCTTCGGACATAGACAGCTGACCCTATCTTTTATGGTAAATCACAGAGCCAGGGCTCTTCAAATGTATGCAAGTTGCACATCAGTGATGTGATAAAACTATTCCAAATAAAAATGTACGTAAAACACTGGATGTTTTATTGCTTCCTTTAACAAGATTTTTGTATCTTTTTGAACAATTAAAAAAAATATTGTCATATAGTTGTGTCAAATATTTTGTTTAGTCTGTTTTGTTTTTTATTTTTTTTTAACACAATGGTTTTTATTTATGAGGATTGAAAATATAAGTAAACCAAAATATAAAAAATATAACCTTTATTGATATCTACAATATTTTCTCATTACACATCGATTAATTTAAATATATTACATCATGATAACGAATAACTTCCTATAACATACAATAAACATGACTCCGATCGCCGCCGGCTTTGGACGCACTTACACACATATAATATATTTTATTATTGCTATAATTAAAAATATATAAAGAATATTAGACCAGAGACTTTCAAAGATTACATGATGCTTTAAAACATTAAGGGCCTGTCCCACCACTGGCTGATAGAGGCTCAGATAGCTTTAACGTTAGATAAGGTAACAATATCCGATATTTCCATCACATATTTTACATGTTGGATTATTATCAGACAATTAACAATTTGGTGGGACAGGCCCTTAAAATTGTGTTTTTTAACTAGCAACATTATTGTAAAAATCTTTTGCACTAATCAAAATGTCTCTGGCCTTTTATTTAAATAGAAATTAGCACCTTTATAAAATTCGAGTAAGACTATCAGTGATTATTTTGGAATGTTTATTTAAATTACTTCGTTAGTCGTTTTTATTTTGTTGTTGGAAATATCGATACTATAAAATATAATACGAATTCCATAAACAAATTATTCGTTTAAAAATAAATGTTGATATTAAAAAAAAATATACTGTTAAATGGTTTTTTATTTTACCCTGTTATGTTTTAGCTTAGACAAATTGATTGGAATTGTAGTTTAACCAAGAACATAAATATCCCGTTGTTTATAACCTCACTTTCAAAATGTGCAAAGGAAATGATTTCATATTTTACGTTATTGAGAAGTGTCATATTCCTGATCAAGGTATAATCGAAATTAGTTAAGAATTCTTTTCGGAGATTTTAACGAGTCTAAAATTGATTTGAAAATACATTTTAACTTTTAAAAAAATACAATATTTTTGTGTATTCATTTTTTAAAACTTTTTGAGAAATTTAATGTAAATTAGAAATCAAATTCTTTGTTTTTGCTCAATTAGAATTGTTTTACTGCTATAAATAATTTGGTAGATTTACAATAAGTATGGAATAATCATAATTAATAAGATATAAATATTCGGTACATTATAAAAAAATATACAGACGAATTGAGTACCTCCTTTTGGGAAGTCGGTCAAAAAGTAAATAATAATGACTAAAATGAAAATAGAAGACTCTAACAACTAATTATATACGATTACTATATGTATATTTTTTATATATCCTATTCTCATTTTAATCGTAAGAGTGAAGTTAGGTTATTTTCTTTGCAGTTTGACGTTAGCTGTCACATATTTTAATTAGGGAGCCTATTATTTCTCCAATAAAGATGGCAGGTCGTTAGGACATTAAAAAAATATTTTAGAACTTTGTAAAAGATCTATTTCAAGTTTAATTAGGTTTTGATACTTTTACGAAATCTACACTGATTATTGTTTTTCTAGTGACATTTAATTCCTATCTTCACCCTTTTTATTAGTAATTGCATACAATACATTTATCAGATCATAAATTGGACGGATAAGTTATCATTCAATTCCTTAAGTCAAGTCTGAAACTTTCGTTTCGAATGTTTTTCACAATATTCACGTCAGCTTCTATGGTCAGGCGCTGAAACCTGAAAAAAATTGTAATTTTTAGGGATTTAAAACAAGTTATTAGACCTCTTATGCTTTTAGAATAAAAGTCTATACAGTATCATTAAATCATCGATATTTTCATAGTTCAGAATTTAGTAACATTACATAAAGAGATACAATTGTACTCTATAGTAAGGTGTGACGTCAGTGACGCCATGACAGATAATCGTGTTTACGCGGTACTGAAAAATGATTCTTACAAACACAAAATACATAATTTAACTGTATTCTTTTGTTATAAATTCTATTTTTTAAATAGATCATAAAACGTTTTAGACAATTAAACATTTTCAATATTTAATACATGATGCTTTGTAGATTTTTAATATTTAAAATTTTAGTAATGCTAGATTTAGATGGATGTTTGTTAGAATTTATAACCTAAACTAAACGGATCTCGATGAAAGGCTTATGTTTAGATGATAGTCTGGAAGAACACATAGACTACTTGTTTTTTTTTTTAATTAACGGTGTTGTGGTCAAAAGCTAGCATAACATAGTTTGTAGGTTACCCGGCGAGTGCGCGGAGTCGCGCTGCAGGGCGACGTACTGGCGCACGAGACGCGCCACCTCGTGCGCCTGCTCCGCCTGCAGCCGCGTCACGCGCTGCTGCAGCAGCGAGCCGCACTTCACGTCCAGGAACAGAGTGCCGTCCTCGGACCGCACCTGCCACCGACATGTACATCACAACCAGAACTTCGATGATAACACGCAATTGAAAAGGAAGTCAGTCATATTACAAATGAGAAAGTTTAGAAGGATAGATGGATGTTTGTTAGAGTTTGTTGGCTAAAGGGATTTAAATAAAATTTTGGTACAGATGTAGAAGATAGTCTGAAACACATAGACACTCACTTTTGTATTTCAATTTATACGCGGACGGAGGTCGAAAGCTAGTATACAAGCTTCTAGTCGCTAATGAAGGAGATCGAGGTTGTATTATGAGCACTGTGTACGCCTATCATCATTATTTTTCTTTGTCTATGGTATATTTAGTTTGGCTGTGTACTTTGAACATGCAATTGGTGTACTATGGCTTAGTCATTAACGACATATAGCGAGATGATGACGATGATGAAAGGTAAATAGCATGTTTGTACACGAACCTTCCTGGTGGAGATGAGCTCAGCGTAGGGCCAGTGCGTGTCTGTCTCGTGCGTGGCGGGGTGCAGCAGGTGCACGCCGCGCCGGTTCAGCGCCAGCACGTGCTCGCGCCACTCGCCGCCCCCCGCGCCCCCTGCGCCCGCCGCACCCCCTGCGCCCGCCGCGCCACCCGCACCCCCCGCGCCGCCGGACACCCGCCGCACAGCGAAGAACGACGACCCGAATAGCGGCCAGCGAGATAACACCTGGGAATAGATACACAATTGAAATTTACCTAAATTTTGATGGTTTACTGTAAATTACTCGTAGATTATTTTTAAGCAAATAAGTCTTTAGAGTAAGTCCGAGAAATCAAAATCTCCTAGAATTAGAAACAAAAAATGTTTTAATGTCTAAATTTTATTGAGATTGCAAGAAACTTTTCGTTTTTGATTCTTCATTCACACGCAGGCTGATAAAGCAAGACCATAAAGTAAAGTATAGTGTGGTAAAAACAAAACAAAAAAATTGTAATTTTTATGTATGTAGCAAACAAGCTTGCAATTGTTATTTCGTTACGAAGAATGTGTTTTGTACCAACCTGTAGTACTTTAGACTTGGCGGCGGGCGGCGGCAGCGCCCTGGCGGAGGGCCACTCGGCGGCGACCCAGGCGGCCCACTTGGCGGGGCGCGGGTCGCGCAGCGCCAGCAGCGGCTTGGGCAGCAGGTAGCGCAGGTCGCGCGGCGCCGGCGCCTCCTGCAGCCCCGCCGCGCGGTGCAGCAGCGCCGCCACCAGCGCCGCGTCGCGCACCGCCGCCGCGGGGGGCGCGCCGCCGCCCGGCAGCACCACCAGCAGCCCCTCCAGGTAGTCCGGCGCCACCTGCGCGGTCGGCATCAGTCTTTATCTGCCCACTACTGGATGTAACCCTTCCGTAGTGTGCTTTAACATATACGTTTTCTCTTAAGAACATACAATTCACTTGAGAAATATTTTTTTTTTAGTAATTACGTTTTACACCGGTAGTCTAAATTATTATCAAATACATTAAGAGTGCCATCCACAACATGCGGTGCTTTTTGCTTCCAACGACTTCGCGTCGTGCACACTAAGTATATTTATCGCTTGTAAGTATCGTTAAGAAGAAAATTTGACAACACTACAACATCGGTTTATGTAGACGTCCCGTCTCTATTTGACAGCTGTCAATGTCATTAGACGTTTTAAAAATGCACGCCATTTTGTCTTTTGGCGGGAGCCAATGGCCTGAGTGTTTAATTTAATTGCGTTGTTAATACGATGACGATTTTTGTAGCCAAAAAAACTGATATTTTAGTAGTCATATTTGTATATGAAATATGCATGAAGTAGATTTTTTAAATCTGTTATTCGTCACACTGGACCCTATCGAATTGAGGGTTAAAGTCAAATTTCATTATAATGTTGTCTATGCTGTGGATAACACAAAGGGCATATATTTTCATTTTTCACATAGAGTTTTATGATTTGCGTACTATGCGACGGAGTGACAGACCTGGTTGAAGAGCACCTCTGTGTAGAGCGGCGGCGCGTCGTGGCGCAGCGGGTGGTGCCACACGGAGCGGCAGAAGATGAGGTAGAAGGGGTGGTGCGCGCGCTGCAGCTCCGTCGTCACGTCCAGCACGTACTCGTCGCCCGCCAGCGGCATCGTCAGCGCGTCGCCCGCCACTATGCAGTACAGCGAGAACTCCGCGCGCTCCGCCGCGCTGCTCACGCCGATCTGCGCGAAACACATCACACAGTCTTATACATACATACAAAAAAATTACATACTTTCATAGATTTCACCCGCGACATCGTTCGCGTAATATTAAAAAACATACGAGAAACAAAAATTTAAATATCCCTCGGGAACTTGTCATTTTTTGAGGACGAATTAATTCCATATGTACTAATAACTGAGTTTTATATCTATACCAAAGTCCAGTAAGATATATTAAACCATTGCGAAATTATCAAAATAAGCACCAAAAATTAATGTATCGCACAGGAACCATAACTATTTCCGGCACTATTTTTTTTCATTTTCATAATACTAGACTATCGAGAATCCGCAAATAAATAAGATATTACTGTACTAGGTGTGAACCAGTGTAACATACGAGTTCGCAGAGTTCGTTGACGATGTCCTGCACGACGGTGGCGCAGCGCGTGTTGACGACGCGCTCGGCGCCGCCCGGCAGCCGGTACAGCTGCCGCCGCGCCGACCGCCCCGCAGACACCGCCGTCACCTGCACACACGCATAATGTTACACAGTTACAAGAAGAGATAAAACAAACGCAGTCACAGCCAAAACATATGTAACACCTTATAAAAAATTAAACATTACACTTTTTTAACATTAGAGGGCGATACTTGTAAAAATGTTCTGCTTGAAGGACCAACTAACCTCCTCAACGCTGGGCACGTTCTTTCTGCCGCCGCAACGCAACGTCTTCCGAAGGTTGGCTAGGCAGACGGAGGCGGTGCCCTGGCAGGGTCTCCGCCGGTCTGCTGCTGCTGCTGAGAGGTACTCCACCAGGAACGGTCTGGACATTGTATTTATATCGAATCACTAATTGCCTCTTAGTGGAATTAATCTAATGATAATTAAAACATAACTAAGAAGTCAAATACTCGTGTAGTCCACTAACCGGAGGGTATCGGAGCATGTGAAGTATGCTGCAAGTATGGACATGAGGCGCCAGGCGCGCTGGCAGGAGTCGGGCGCGGCGGAACGGTTGGAGGTGGTCTGCTTCATCAGCTGGCAGTACACCTCGTCTCGCAGCTCCGGCACCGAATGGCAGTGCTGCAAGTTTAATGAAAATAGGTCGCGGTAATTATCGGACAATATAAAACTAGGTTCATGTAATAAAATTATTACCATATTTGTTGTTGTTATCTAAGCTTAAAAAAATAAGGTGATAGTAACGTAAATAATATACCCAATAATTTTGAACAATTCCACCAAAATTAAGCTTGAATTTTCTACAATGGGTTTACATCAAAAAAAGCCTAAGTTTGTCGCGGCTCGTGGTCTGGTACTGTAGTTCGTACTTCTAGATCTCGGCTAATTACTGCTATATGTAATTCTTACCATGAGTACGGTATAGACGCACTTGACCTCAGTGAGGTCGTGGTGCTGTGCGCGCTCAGCGGGCTGCAAGTCGCCGCAGTAAGCCCGAACACAGGTGAAACATTCCAGTGCAGGTGGCGCTAGTGCTGCGGGCAAGCGCAACAGTGGCGCCCGCAGCGGCCCAGCTTGCCACTTGACAACGTCTGTCTGTGCCTTCCATGTCCATTCGTTGCGCTTCGCTTTACTCTTCAGTGATGAATCAGCTTTTAATATTTCTAATCTGTGGATTAAAATGTATTCTTTGATTAATTTGTTTCAATGCAAGAATATGAGGCTTGTTAATTATAGCAATTCAATGAGAATAATCGGCCTTTCAATATTGATAAAAAAGCTTGGAAACCCAATTACGTGAAAGGAACTATAGTTTCCGTCTAATGAAAAGATTGTCCGTTCGCGTAACACCTTTTTTTCAAACGTTTAATCACGTTTCTTTGAACAAAAAATGACAACTATTAAAAAAAATCGTACGTGAGTAGTCAATCGATTATTTAGATGCCAAACGAAGCATTACCTTTAAGTAAACGGTTTTAGGAATTAAAGAAAGTTTTACCAACTAACGTGACATAATGACGATTTGGTTGTTAAAACGCATTGTAATTACACTAACAAAGCGCGCACGGATCACGTAAGCGAAAATTACACCGTTTAAATGCGTAATTACCGCGCAGGTGTGATCCTATACGTTGTTCGCATATAAAAAAGTTAGGTTAATAAATACATGAATACATACAACATCGCAACAAGTGTTCGTCACCGATCGATTGTGAATGCTAGCCGTTTGTAAGTTCATCATCTCCCCTGCCTTATCCCACTCCCGTAGGGTCGGCGCACCGGATTTTCGTCCTCCAAAGCACTCTAACATCCGTCATCTCAGTCATCACTTCCTTCTTGATCATGTCACCTTTCACGTAATCCATCCATCTCTTTCTAGGTCTACCTCTACCGGTGTATCCCTCAACATTCACAACTAACGTCCGTCTTGTTAAATGCGATTCATCCCTTCTCATAACATGCCCATACCACTCTGACCTTTTACTCCTTATTTTCTCAACCACTAGGGCTACTCTCAAATTTCCTCTAATATACTCATTTTGTATCTTATCCAATCGAATACACAAGTATATGTAATTTACCCAGGCAAATTGTTAAGTTTAGCCAAATTGTTTTAAGCTCGAATTCAAAGTGGTCACTTACAAACTATTTGAGAATTGTCTTAATGTTTTGCGGCACCCCAATTTAATGTATTTATTAGATGCAGAAAGAAAAACTATGGCTCAATTAATTCCTGTGAATATTTACGCGTAAAATTATTTTTTAATAGACATGATGCAATCATATAGTGCAGTAGAAAGCAGTTACGACACTTTGCGATGCGTAGGGAATTATCGATAATCAAAAAGCCGCGAAATTAACGCGCCTACGGTATATACAAGAATATTCAACGATAGACCACAATTATCTGACAAACTTTCCAATGTAACAACTTTGAATTATCATCACAGATACACGGCAATGTGAACTTTAAACTCAGGAATTTTATAATTACATAAACTTAGGCAAATTATATCGTTTAGAATTTCAAATTTGGCATTTTGTAAATACCGAATATCGGCACCATTATCTCACGTCAATCTTACTAATACTATAATTGCCAAAATTTAGGTGGACGGATGGATGAATGTTTGTTAGAGTTTGTAGCCTAAACGGCTGAACAGATCTCGATGAAATTTGGCACAGAAGAACATATTACTCACTTTTGTTTTTTTTTTTATTCTATGCGGACGGAGTCGCGGGCGAAAGATACTATGTTTATATGTATACCCATATTCATTTACAAGCATATGTTTTAAAAAAAATCTGATAAATCGTATCGCAACATCTATACAACTTAACATGAAATGTATTATTGTCAGTTTGTTCAAGGAAATCAGACAATACTAGCATTTAATCGTGGCTTCGTCTACGTGTAATTGCAAAAAACCAAACTACGGTCTTCTGTACCAAATATCATCGAGATCAGTTAAGTCATGTTACAAACATCCATTCATACTTTCGCATTTATAATATTAGCATAATGAGGTGTGATTAACAATGAGTACATTTATTGTTTAAATGAAATACAGAAAACGGACTAGTAAATTGACATTTAGAACCTGTTAGCCTTAAAACAAGCATTCCTGTGCCTTACCTCATAGAAACATTGTTGGTATAGAGTTACTTTCACTGAGCGGTTCAGGGACTTTATAAACAACTAGCTGTTCCCTTGCGACTTCATCCGCATAGAATTTTGAAATTTTTATAGTATTGTTTACATGTGTCAAATTATCAATTGCAAATATCAAAATCACATGACATTATGACAAACCATGGCAACTTTTCTTCCTTGATGTTGGCAGCAACTTTTGGTCTCTTTCCCACATTAGGGTTTTAGCGTGACGTAAGTGTAGGGCTTTTTATTAAAAAAAGAACTATTAAAAAATATGTTGTAATTCCTAACATCTTAGGCAACAAAGAAGTGTGTGTTTACGCTTTATTATGATAGTATGGATTATTATAATAGATACTAATCTACTTACTGGCTTATATAAGCCTAATAATAATATAGTCTTAATAAATGAATATGAAATCATTAAATATAATATCAAAGAGGACAACTAACTGTATGTTTTTTCTCAAATAAGCATAAAGCCTAAAAATGTAGGTAAAAATTATAAAAGTATTTTTCAAGGAGTTTTTACATGTTTTTAGGTCTCAAGTCATTAGAAAAGAAGAAGAATTTAAATTATTTAAAATCAGAACACATTGTCGATGTCAACGTTTTTTCTGTCTTTTTCTGTACATATTTTCATATTTTATCAATACGCATGTCTTCGTAAAAATAGCTTTATTTCTAAGTCTTTTACGATATACAAGTATTTAAAATTAAGTTTCGACAGTTGAAAGATGTTTTTTATTACTAGTATTGTAAAATTTATGAGGTTAAAAGATCTAGAAAATGTTAACATATCAAAATCTAGATGCATAATTTTTATCTCTAGAAAGTGACGCTAAAAGCTTTAATGTTGTTTTAAATGTTTGAGATAATTAATAAGAATATAGCATATTAGCGACATTTAGTTCGCTGTTTGGTTTTTAACTAGTTTTAAGATATCGCTTGTCAGATTTCTACGGATGCCACAGTGGCGCCGCTGCATCCGAATGTAATGCACCTGTATATTTTTGAATAATCCTTTTTATAATAAAAAGCCCTACACTTACGTCACGCTTTAGGCTATATATTTTCACGCTATTAAATTTAAGGGGTAAATATTTTGGATAAAAACCCTAATGTGGGAAAGGGACCGTAAGTTGCTGCCAACATCAAGGAAACAAGATTACCAAGATTTGTCATGTCATGTCATTTTGTCATTTGTTTTTAATAGTTTGACAAATGTAAGCAATAAAATAAAATGTTCACAATTTCATGCGGATAAAGCCGCACGGGAACAGCTAGTTTGGGATAAAATATACTATATGTGTGTTACAAATTTATTGTTAACATCACAAAACTGTTCAGATTTTTTTTTAAATAACTAGAAGAACATTATTTTAATATTCATCTTCACCTTGGTCTAGGTGGGATAGTGGTCAAGCGCTGGTTTTTTTCAATTTAAAAAAAAAAAAATATTGATAGTATCATAGAAAGTTGTTCTTAACATAACGTTCCTGGAAATGTAGCTTTGAATATATTGATGTTGGATAATGCATTTTCGGCGTGTAAATTAGTTGTAAAAATGCATTGTAATGCAGTTATCGTAAATAATAGCGTGAACTATAACAATGATTTGTTGTGCGTGTTGGCGATACCGTGACAAAGGCGTGTTTATGTATAATACAATTAAACGTAGGAAGCGATTCTGTCTACTAACACTTCAGGACATACAATTATTACCTGTATAATTTAACGTATATTAATAACAATATAAGATGTTCAACTGTATGTACAGTTACGTGCAAATTAAATGTATTGAGTTTACGTTTTGCCGCGACCATGGCACGGCAGAATTATTCGCCCATGACTACGGGACCACGGCCATTCATTTACACGTAAATTTTACCTTTTTCATAAAGATTTTATAAAAAGATTAATTGCCGCAAATCAATAGCGTTTTATGGGTACTATAGCTGAGCTTTAGTTAAAAATTTAATTGTAATATTGTATTTCAATTGACTAATAACATTTTTTTTTAATTTACGTCCGTATTAAAATGTTTAAATGATTATTTTACATGTTTGTATAATTTGGAATAATAAATTAAACTATTTTTCAAATATTAAATTAATTAGGAAAGTCTGTGGCATTTATAAACAAATAATTAAGATGCACGATCTCGTTTATAGTCGTTTCGCTGGTTTTGCACTGCACTAAAAATATTGAAGCATATTTTTAATAATTTTTTCCCCTTCACTAGTCCTATAAAAAATATACCTCTTAAACATTTATTACAAAAAGTCGGTCCCTTTTGTATTCACTAATAACACAAACTATAATCAAAACAGTTTTTGTCTCCGAAATCGTCGGTCAAAAAATATCAACAACTGCACATTAGAAAAAACCTCACAGGATGTTATCATCCGAATCGTCGTCGGTAGCTTCCCCGTCAGCGTCTACCGACAAGCTGTCAGAAGACATGTCCACGCGATCGCCTCCTGACCAATCGACCGACATCTCGACCGACGGAACGAAGACTGAACGACCACCAGCCGACCACTCGACCGACAACTCGGTCTTCTAAACGAATACTGAACGCAACATCGGCGAAAGTGTTCGACCAATGTTGATTACCGAATTCGAATTATTTTGCATCTCATCGGCTTTCGTATGTGTTTGTTTACACATTAGACACGTGCTTCGTCATTCAGTGATATATTTCGATTAATAACAAATTATACAATTTGAATTATTAATTAAAGAATAAATCAATACCTACATAATAAAGTAAATACAATATTATGTAAATGTTACAGATAAAATACACTATTGATTATTGTCATATCGTTTTACCATAGTTAAAAATAAAAAGAATTTTAGTAAAATCTGACCAATTTAAGCGGTCTTTACATGGCACTCTTAGTGCATTACGTACACTAAGAGACTGCTTTTATTATGAAAAGTCTACAAAGTTAGGTTAGGTTTACACTTTCCCTCCAAAAGGGCATTTGTGGAGGTGAAGCTCAAACTTGTTATTACGGACAGTAAAAGTTATTTATTGTATGTCTAATTTTTTAAAATGTAATTTTCAATAATTAGTAGGTTACTAATTGTATTATCTAAATGAAAATCCAATGAGACAAATTTACATTTTAAAATTCCCAAAATATTACTGTATGCAATGGTAAATTTCGATTTTCAACAATCATAACATGATGCAACCGTGGGATTATACTGCAGAAACTAAATCCACTTATAGTCTTTAAAAAATTATGATAACAAGAGTACTGCCTTTTTGTAATAGTCAAATATGTTAAGATTGATTTAAAATTCCTTGGAAAATGTTTTATTTGCGGTAAAATCTATGAATGATAAGTCAAAGTTAAATTTTAAATGAGGGCATGGTAAAAAATAGCTCTTTATCATTCTAGATGATTCTAGATGATGTACTTTGTTTATTGAATAAAAATATTCTAATATTGAAACTGTCGCGGCGTTTATTGCAATATTTAGGAAACGCTCGAGATGTGTTCACTCTGATTACTCAACTAAAACCGGCGTTTATTGCGGACAGATTATATTACAACAAAATCGCTCGTGTACTAGAAACTTTAAACTTCACTTCTTTTCTATATTTTAATGGCAATCGCCGAAAAACATTGCCCATTTATTGAGGTACACCTTGCACTTATACTATAAAAAAATTGACCGAAAAAAAAAGCCAGGATTACTAACTTGACTAGGTCATGCTAAAAGGTTCTAATATGATACTTCCTGTATTGCGATCTTTTTAAATTAAATTTAACTTTTTTACTTACGGGATCAGTAAACAGTAAATCATTAATTTATCACACAAAATTAAAATTGTATAGTTAATAAAATAATTATTTGTCACAGAAAAAAATCATAGAAGGAAGAATAATGTTTTCTAAACTATAAATTACAAAAAAAACAAACTGTCAAATCACGTTCGGATACTTGCATTCGTTGTTTGAGGCGCGCGAACGCGAAGCACGGCATGGCCGCCGACTGGCGCGCCCCTGTCCCACGGCCACGGCAAACCACTGTTTTCCCAACGAAACTCCACACTCAACTAACTAGGGCTGATTGTCATTTTTTTCCGCGTAACATTTTTAATGCTCCATTGTTTTTGATGTACGCACAGCTGACAAAGGTGTTGCCTAACGCGAAAATCATTACGTTACTCTTTTGAATATAAACCAGAGCAAATCCTCACTCGAAAGTTGAGATTGTTTGATAACTTGTCAAAACATCACTTCCTGATTATAACTTTTTTCTATTATTCGTTTATAAGAGATTGTTCTGGAGATACCAGGTCACAGATCATATAAATCCACCAATTTTCTTTATAATCATAATTTTTAAAATAAATAAAACACGAATAAATGAACAGCTGATAGCCCTGAATCAGTAATTAAAAAGTATGCAAACATTGATTCTTAGAACGCGCGGTGTTCTGTATTGAATGTAAAACCACGAGACCTCCAGCGCCCTCTTTTTGCTGCAGAACAGAACAATGCGAGGAGATAACAGCACTATAAGGCAATTAACATCGTGTAGCGCTTTGTTAATGTCGATGTTAACATCTTTACGAACAACCAAATTCATGTTCAACACTAGCAAACCAATCGATTTGTAAACAATTTCACATAATCATTGATTTCTACATTGCAAAAGTCGTTGGTTAAAGTAAATATTTCATGATCTATTGATTCAGAATAAAAAAAAAACAATTACCAATCCACTTCAGTGGAAACCAACGGTTCGATAGATTTGATTACAGAGTTTTATATACGCTAGTTAATTTATAACACTGGAGGGGTCAGTCTGTTGGTCGTAGTGGATTTGGGCCCTGGTATAACAAACACATATTTATTTATATCTGACTTATTTTGCATTGCTCTGCTAAAGTACAATACAATTATATGTTGCTGTAACAATGGGTTACGCAAATCGCGTACAAAGACCGTCGCTTCTTTCCTTCTGTTGTGAAACATTTTAACTTGAGAGCAGTAGATATTTGGATGGTCACGTTTTCTTATTAAAATATTGAGTAGTAACATAGAAAATTATTTAACATTAGCAGTTTATTAAACAATGAACTAATATTTCTTGCAATTAAATGCCAAATAAATTCGATGCATGTGTTACGCAATAGAATGGCGGAATTCGAATCCTCGACCATATAATTCTCTAATCATTTGGCTATTGGCTTTATTTAAAAAAAAATGTTTACCTTTTACAATAAAAAGAGACTATTATTAAAATCTCTTAACAACGTCCTATGCAAGTAAGCGTGAAATAAAATTATAATAACGTAAGTAAGAGGATAATGCAAACATTTATTTCATTAAATACAAATAACACTTCATATATAGAATCTGTCAATACATCTTTCAATAAGCAAAGTGAAATTGCAGTATTTCTGAATCATAACAACTTGCACTTTCATTCAGTTGCCGAAACTCAAATGTATTCAACTATAACTCAAGCAAATGCTTGAAATGTTAACCTTATATTCTAATACAGAATAATCTGCATTTAATTAATTAAGAATCAAGCAGTTTGCATTGTATTTAAGTACCCATTGATTTATTTTTTAGCTATTTACGCAAAAGATCAGGTATTTCGAATTAAATAATCGATGAACAGTATCAAACATTCATGTCATGGACTTAGTTTCACGCTTTGTTACTAGATGGCGCTGAAATCAAGTGCAAAATAAAACGTGATTTTTATAACCTAGCTTTTAGTTTTTATTTTTAATAGTTCCCTGTTTGTTTTTAAAATGTTTTAGTACAAATAATAAAGTACTCACTCTGGACTCTGTCTGAAATGGTCGACTGCGAACTGGAGCAGAGGATGTCTGCCGTCGTGTTGTGGTGTCGTTTGGTCTCTTCTTTCGTCCCTTATATCTCGTTCTCTTTCCCTATCTCGCTCTCTTTCTCTCTCCTTGTCCCTGTCTCTGTCCCTATCTCTTTCTCTCTCACGGGGTACAGGCGAATTGGTTTGTGCTCTCCTTTCAATGTGTTCCGTCTCGTCCCTCGAGTCTCGGATTTCTCTTATGTCCCTCGAATCCCTGGAATCTCTGGATTCTCTTGACTCTCTGGATTCTCTTATCTCCCTGGATTCTCTGCTATCACGTTCTATAATACGCTCCTTAATTGTGATGCCATTTGTCATCGGCTTTGGTTGTATCTGTAACAAGAGAACACATAAAATGAATTTTATATAAATTCTTAATTAATTTTAAACAACATTTATAGCAGTAATTTGTATTTTAAATAATATTACCACAGTATAGTATTTGTACATCTTGATATCCTTGCAGTTAGACAGTGACTACGCGTTTACTCAGATCTCAGATATGTTTAAATAAATACACACAAAGATGTTATCCATTTAGACGGCCTTTCTACACAGATTGACATCATTATAAATACAATTGTACTAAACATTTAATCTGACAACAAGGTGATTATTATTTACCTTATTGGATAAAACATATATAAAAGGTGTACCTTGATTTAATTACAAATATAGTAAATATTTTCTAGATAAAAAAATTTCATATAATGTTGTTTCTCAAGAAATCCTAATTTTGAAATCGTGTCAAAAAAAATATAATGTACAAGCGATAATAATAAAATTTTGTAATGGACTTCGAAATAATTGTGAATTTACGTCTAAAATTGTCTTTAATAATTTTCGAGCTAAAAGAAAACACTTTTAAAAGAATGCTCTACGAAAAAAAATCATAGACAGAATTCTCATGATAGTTCATATCTAGTGTTATTGCTATTTGAATTTAGTAGGCAAATTTTATTACATTATTTTTAAAGTAAAATATAAAACCAAATATAATTAAAATTAAACAATTATAGATCGGTACATCAGTAAACACTAACAATTACAAAGATTATTGAAGAATCAGAGCTGTGGCAATGTGTTTAGGAAAGCGTGAAGGTAAAATGCAATATGGCCGCGGAGAGTGCTGTACCAACATTAAGATGTATTTACATTGATGTATTTTTTGGGACACAAATAAAAATAACAGCCGTCATAAACTGGCCAAGAAATGAAAACTCTAACCTTTTATTTCCTTATGACATCTAAAATAAAGATAAATGCAAAAGATTAAGTCGCCTTTTTCGTTTTTTATAATTTGTATAGTTGTAGTTTACTTATTATTTATTTATTATTAATACTTGATCGTGCAAGAAACCTAGTGTTAAAAACTTATCTTCCTATCACTTTCCTTTTTGTATCACGTTAAACACTGTTATTTTGCTATGTTTAATTATCTGCGCATACGATCTTTATTATAGGAAGGTAAATGACTTTATATTGCTGATTGTTTAGAATTTTCTCCTCATGTAATGTTTACATAAGACAATATAGTGTTAAACGGCTGAATACTGAAACGATATTTAAGTTACAACGTAATTTAAGTAACAGATAAGGTCACGCTTAACTCCAAATTCCATAAATCTTTATATTTCAGTATTTAGTCGAAAGAGTTTGAAACGTTCCGTATATTGGAAAAATATGTCAGATTCGTTATCAAAAACACAAGAGTTATTCGGATTAAAAAAAAATAAAAGCCGTTCGTGTTGTTGGATCAGTGCTTTTGAAATTAAAAAAAAAACTTTAGTATGGCAATCATTAACCATACTAATTATTTCGATTGTGTTACATTTAAGTACGTAACATTAGAATACAAACAGTGTTGTCTATGGTAGCATTACGTCCGGTCTGTTTTCCACTTGTCTATACATCTTTATGCTTTATGGTGGGTTTCTATACACTACACTACTCTGCGAACATATTGTCGTTACATTCATTATGTTTGAAGAAATAAAGTCTACAATACGTTTTAATATTATAATTTCGGCAGTGGAATTACACTGTTATAACCTTGTATAAGTCGCATTCATAGTGTAGATTTTTTTTCGCTAAAGTATCTCTTTTATTTATAAAACTATCTCTTTTACGTTATTCTCAATTTGATTCTAATTCGCGCCTAAGATATTTTTAATCTATTTAAGATTTGCAAATGAATACCACCACATGTTTAACGTTAAGAATACAATAATAAAAACATTTAGAAAAAGAAATTAAATTTTCAGCTCCGAAAATCAGCATATTACACAAGAAAGTTAAAATACCTTTGGTTTTCTTCTCAGCGTTTTCCTGCTCAAAGTTCTAATGATGCCGTAAAAGTTCTCCATCTTTGATTCCGAATGTCATAGAGTAGATAAGAGAGGCAGAGGCAATGCTTTCTCTATATAAAAACTGTTCGCCTGTCCCGACGTGCGGCTACTGAGCTGCAGTTGCACTTGTGGCCAGTAACCGTCCACACTCCACCGCTCTTGTATGAATTGTATGAATATTCAATACAAACGATTGTTATAGTTGTAGTCGGCATGGAATTATTGGCCATTGAAATTATTTTGGTTGTCACGAAAAATCGATCACTTTTTTAAGGGATAAACAAGAGGGAGATGCCATATATTGCGATTGATTGTTGAACAAAAATAAAATTAACCCGAAATTCGAGGATGGACTTATAGAATTGTAAATTTAAGCCGTATTTTCTTTTTACGTTAATTTTTTTTATATTAACCTGTCTGAATGGACATCTTACATTGTGACGAGTATAGCTGGAGTATTTACTTGATTGATGTTTTGTGTCCATTAAAATGCATTTCAGACTGCAGCACGAGTACTTTTTCATCACATAACGTTGTTTTAAATCAACAGGAAATAGGTTACGCGTTTTGTCTTATAATATACAGAGGAAACTGTTTTGAATTGAATTTATTAGCAATAGTTTTAGTTGAAGTTTTTACAGGCCCTTTTGTTAATTTTATACGATGTGATAACGATGTAATTTATTAGATTTCCATGTGTAATCAACTTACAACTCAAACTTGTAATAACTTAAAAAATGCGACCATCATATCTAAATAGTTTCGCTATCAACAAAGAGATGGCGTTGTTATTAACTAACGTTAAAGTACGAAATTAAACTTAAAAGTTTTTCTGAAAAATGAAATTAAAAATCGATTTGACACAAATTATAATTTTTGTTATAAATACACATTTATTAGTTTATATTTCTTATTGAAACAAGGTGTATATCCAGGTCGGAACATAAAAACGTGGTATGCCGTAGTAAAGATGTTACACCGCGCGGATGTGTCATCTTAAACCTGTACTCGATGCTCCAGTTCCGAGAAATGAGGCCTCGTCTCCCAGAAGGCTAGTGTAGGAATTAGATAGACATGGCGACACACTTGATTGAATGATTCTTGTATGGATCGACTCAAAGAAAGGGGTTACAGCTTAGTTTTCGACGAAAAATATGTTTATGCTGATACGAGCTGTCGCCTGCAGACTTCGTTAGCGCAAAGGACGACCAGTTATGCCATTTTGATAGCGCGGGAGTGAGAAAAGTTGCCTGTAATATGCCTATCGTCGAAATCGGCCCAGCCGTTTCAGAGATTATCGGAAAAAACGCGGCTTGCGAGTAGACGGACAGACAAAGATTTTTTAAATGCAAATTTCGTTGGCAACGCAAATACATCTTTACGAAATCTGGAATATTCTTTTGATATTACAAACAGACACTCCATTTTTTATATGTATAGATAAACACGATAGTTTAATTGGATGGTTACTATGCATCTTAACATTACATAACTTGTGTATGTTATATATCACTTAAATCCTGTTAAGGTTGAAATGGTTTCCGTTCCATACATTAACTGCATTTCGTGGTCTCAGCGTTTATACTTTCACATTATAAAACCATAAACATCTGACGTCTCTGTTACATGAATATACGATGAATAAATTAGTATATATCCGCCTATTTACGGTTCTGAAGAAAATTAAATTCCAACCCCTACTGTCGGAATTAAGCCTGCTATAAACGCTCTGTTCAAACTATGTTAAAACTGTAGTGTATAATATTGTATTATGGACTAACTGTTGCTGGCGACTATGCGGGTAGAATAAAATAAATACTAAAAAAAACAGTCTATGTTACTCACTGATAACTTAGCTTTTTAAAGGTGAAAGTTTTGTAATCGCCCCGGTAGTTTTTGAGTTATTCCAATACATACAAAAAAAAACAATATTTCCTTTTTATCATTAGTATACAGGTTATCTGCGGAGTGAATGTAAAAATGTAATTTCTAGTTGAACTGTTCAATTACACACATCGATATTGACATATGTAAATTGATTGATTCGTGTATTATTTATGTAACAAATATGGTTCAGATAACATAGATTAAAATATCTCTACGGCCTACACGGTACACGGAACCGTCACTTGCTAAAACGGGTTATTACTCTGCAATAAGACGAGCGTCATGAAAGGAGATTTCCTCGTAGTTGTACACTTGTATTATTAGACTAGCTGTTCCCATGCGGCTTCATCTGCATGAAATTATGAAAATTTTATTTTTATTGTTTACGTTTGTCACATTATTAATAGCAAATGTCAAAATGACACGACATGATAAACCTTGGCAATCTTGGTTCCTTGATGTTGGTAGTAACTTATGGTCTCTTAATCACATTAGGGTTTTATCCAAAAAATAAAGCGTCTAAAGTGTGAGGTAAGTATAGGTTTTTTTTTTACTAAAAAAGTACTATTCAAAAATATGCAGTAATTGCTGACATCTTAGGCAACAAAGAAATGTGTTTTTACGCTTTATTATAATAGTATAGATAGTATAGAGTATAGATGACTGGAAATTGTAAATTATATTTCACTTTACAAATGATAATTGCTTAAGGAGAGTTGATTGTAATTAAGTGTTCTCTTGCCAAAATATTTGTACAAAAACACATTGTCACATGTTATCCCCGTTGACTTATTTTATATAGATGTGTACTAAGTGCGTATTTTCAAGCTTTGTAACTTAAATCTTAATCTCGCTCATTTTATCACATTTTATTTCAATTTTATCGTAAAAAAAATTCCTTAAACAATTTCAAAGTTATGTACTTTTTAAATTGAGTTTGATTATTCAAATATTGTAACAAAGTCAAATTTTGACAATGAAGCTCAGTCACGGTACATCGTGACTTTATTGTTTTACGCACAGCATGACAGGAAGTCTGGCTTAACGAATACAGGGAGGTTCGGCTTTATTGGAATACCTCAACACAAGGCTTTTTTT